TGGTTTCTTGGGGAATGGTACTGTAAGGATCAGCTAGGTTGAGATGTTATGAGATTCAAATACAGTTTCTGTCTTTGGAAATAAGTTGGTGAAGTGATCAAGAAAATATCTATTCAAGTAAATAAATAGGGAATGGTTTGATTCAAGTAAGCCACATTGTAGTTTCAATATATTTTAGGGGTCTGTTAACTTGTCATAAAGCTAGCTCAAAAGCGCCATAAATGGGAGAAAAAAAATCATAAATCTCATCATCATGAAATCCCACATGTTCATAAATGGTTCCTATTGGCCAATAAATATATCCATTGAAGGTCCATATTGCAAACAATGAGTGAAGAATCAGTATCTCAAGTCTCTAATGTCAGTTCTGTTAAATGTAGTTTTTAAAATAAATATCATTACTGATGTGTACAGTTTTTACACTAGAGCCACTTTACACGCAAAACAGTAGCTTCATTCACTCCACTTGTGGGGAGTAGTGTTATGGGATTTATATTTAATTATCGATTGATTTCTCTAAATTTTATGTGGACAGTTTTGATAACTTGGTGTTTTGGTGTGTTCCAAGTGAGATGCTTAATCAATGTGAGATATATTTTCAAAAGTGGAGTTCAGAGAGATTGAGGTCAAATCTGTCTTAAATCTGAGGCCAAAACAGATGGAATGATAGATACAGAGATCATTTAGTCCATCTTTACAGTGAGTGAGTTGTGGCACCAGACCAATATGTGTAATATGTTACAGTTATTGTCACCGAAACTAGTCAGATGCTTGAGTGAATGGGAAGGATAAAGGGATAAAGACATCTATTTCAGATTTGCAACTGCCATCTCCAAGATGAATACCTTCCTCTTTGAGATGTTTCTCTGCACTTTTAACATTTGTAGTTTTATACAGAGCACCTCAGAGGCAGACTAACAGCCTGTCTCTGATGTCAAATAGCCTTGTCAAATTAACTTCAGATACCCACTCAAATACAGTGAGTCCTCTTTGGTGACCAATTGAGGCACTTCTCACCCTAATATTAGATCATCTGTAAGTTGTATCTGTCTGTGCTGTAACATTCTATGATTCTATGTGGGATTAGACTAGGTGGCTTACATGGCTAATTCGATAACAAATTTTAAGGGAGAAGTAGATAATAATTTGGGGAGGTCAAGTTTGCAGGGCTATCGGGAGACGGGGGAGTGGGATTGAATTGGATAGCTCTTTTCAACGTGCACAGACACGGTGGCCAAATGACCTCCTTCTGTGCTGAATAATTCTAGAATTCTATGATTCTATATGGAGAAAAACAACAGTGCAGACTTGATGGACCAAATAGCCTGTTTAACATTCTCTGATTCAAATGGGTGTCTCCCATCATTCCCTTTGAATAATCTATTGTTCCTTAGTTGATCCATTTAGATCTCTATTTTCCACCAGTTGTACTGATACCAGGAAAGCCCTCCGCAACTACATAGCCACAAAGGAAAAGTAGACAAGTTTAAAAATAATACTCCTTGCATTTGTTACAGCCCCTTGTACCACAGAAGGACGTCTTAAAATGTTTCACAGGATTTACTGTAAAGTGTAATGTGTTTTGTAGATGTATTCAGCAGCCAATTTGCATGCAGCAGTGTCCCACAAACAGACATGAAGTGAATAAATAATTTTATCTGGGAAATTTTTGGCCAGGACATCAGGAAAAACTCCCTTCTCTTTATGTGTATTACAGTTGATACAATGTTCATGCAAATAACAATAAATTTGTCTTAAATCACCATCATTGCCTTTGTCCTTTCTGCTATATGTTTGGCTCAGTCTGGAGACAACATTAACATCAGAGTACTGTTTTTCAATAGTTGCCAGTCCAATAATTGATGAAATGAAAGACATTTGTCTTTATTATGGCAAATAATTTATTGTATCCAGGAAACATAATGTGCAATGTTTCATGAGGATGCAGGGTTGCTTTGATTAAATAGCATTGAATAGCATTGGCATAAATTTAAAAGAAAAGCTTGACAATCTTAATCAATGTCAGAAAAATGAAGTAAGAGGTAAAAACAAAATGTGAGCAGGTATTGCAACCATGTTGAGTGCTGAGGTGCTCATACTGTAGATACACTCTTTGATGAGTGTAAATAAATATAAATAGAAACTAGTAAATTATCGGATACAAAGAGCTAATTTATCCATATGGGTGGGGCTCTTTCACTGCCCTTTCCATTTTCGGATATAGATTTGCATTCAGCCCATTCTGAACAGAACAAAGCCTTTTCTATCTGATGACTGTAAACCAATGCTGGTCAAGATACCTATTGTGGGAAATGTAAATATTTCATTGGCGTACTAATGCTTTTATATTTGAGACTAAGGCATATAATAATAAAATAATCCTTGCATTTGATATAGCGCCTTATCACGTCTTCAAGACGTCTCGTAGCGCATCACAGAATATACTGTAAAGTGAATTGACTGTGTATTTTGTGGGTGAAACGTGGCAGCCAATTGTGCACATCACTGTCTCACAAACAGTCATAGATTGAATGACCAATTTATTGCTATTATTTTTTTTTGAAGGAATTATTACTCCCGGAAAAACAATCCGGGTTCTTACCTACTGCTGGGGAAGTAGAGGCGTGTGGAGTAAGGAAACTTACCCAACTTTTCGCCCTGCCGGGAATCGAACCCAGGTCTCTGACTGTCTAATCACTGAGCTACAGGACTCCACAATTCCTGAGGTTAGGTTGATGAACACATTTCACATCTTCACAAGTTCATTGTTATTTTCTGTGACCAGGGAAAATCCTGAGAACGATCTACCCAGCCATCCTTTTGTGTTGCTACCAAGTATTAAATAGAATCTAGTCTTTCTATTGAATCAAATAAGTTAACATTACAATGCAATGCTAGGAATGAATTAAAATATAGCTTAGAGAATTATTGAAGGTATAAGAAAGCATATCAGTAAAAAAGACAACATACACATTCAAGCTGTTAAGCAAATTACTTGCTCTTAGAGATGCTTTTGGGTACATTGTCCAGAATACATGAACAATGGGCAATATCATACAGCATTTTGCCCTACTAGTGTTTTTTTTGCTAAGTTGAGGACACCCTCGTTAGAAAGTGCCCCAGTTGAGCATGAGTTTGCAGGCCTACTGTGGTACACCCAGCTTCCAACCCTGATTAGCTTCCCACACTAAAAATAATGGCCACCTTCTTACATAATTTCCTGCATATTAATAATAATAATAATATTAATAATGCACATTAGACATTATGCACAGAAAACATCTCTGATGTCAATTCCTGCACACCATGTATATGTACGAGTACAGGAAGTCCCACTAATGTTACCTTCTGTGAGCTGCACATGTCTCGGCTGAAGACTTTTCTTTTCGACTGCGCCTTTGGTCACCTTCCTCCCCCTCCCCCTGGCTCGGTCCCGGGATCCATTACTGTGAAGCGCTCTGAGACGCCGTCTGGCGGGGAGGGCGCGATATAAATCAAAGTTGTTGTTGTTGTTGCAGTGCACTGGAAGTAATGTCAGCAGCACTTCCTGCGCGTAAAGTGCATCATGCCAAAAGTGAGATCAGTGGCAACTTGACAACCGGGAAGCAGAACCAATGACTCTTGTCTTCAAGGATGTGTTATAACACGGTTTCTAAGCGCTCTGTATCTACTTTATAATGGGGTGCCCTGTAGTGACGCAGAAAAATGGAAAAATTTATACAGCCCATCAACTTCATATTTTCCTCCATAAAAGCATAGAATAAAAATATGGAGTCACGTTTTCTTAACTTGAGGCAATGATCACATTATAAGTAATTAGTTGAAAGGGTCACTGAAGCTCTTCTTTGGCAGTTTTATGGAGGTTATTTATCATGAAGATAAATTGTTGACTCTTCTGGTCTGAAACATCCACGTGACTACTTTCTTCACTGAATCAACTAAACAATTTTTTAAATTGAAAACATTAAACAATGAAAAAGTAGATAATTTTTTTAAAAAAGGAAATGTTATAATTCATATTGATCAGTTTGAATCCTACCTATTAATAGAGGAAATTAATTTTTTGATTTTAAGTTATGCTTTTTATCACCAACTGAGATTCATTTGAGAACACAAATCGCAAGTCTGCATTAGCATATTCACAGGACATTGTTTCTGTAAATGAACCAACTTTGTTGCCTCTAAAAGTCTCTTACTGTGTTGAAAGCATGCAGTGCTTGCTTTTCAAACCACATTATGATATAATCCTTGCATCTGATACAGAGTCTTATCACATCATTGAGACATCTCAAAGTGCTTCACAGAATATGTTGTAAAATGGATTGACTGTGTATTTTGTGGGCGAAACACAGCAGCCAATTACTCACAGCAACATTATTTTTGGTGGAAAGTCCTAAAACATTTTGCTAGTTTTTACTTTATGGTTGCCTAGGAACATGGGAATGCGCAGACCATTTGTAAAGACAAGATAACAACAACAACAAGATTACATTTGTATAGTATCTTTCACGTCGGGAGGACGTCCCAAGGCGCTGAACAATGTACAGCATTTCAGACCCGAGCTGGGGTCAGGTCGGGAGAGGGGAAGGGGGGTGGCCGATGGCATGGTCAAAGAGGAGGGTGTTGAGGCAGGACTTGAAGGAGGCTAAGGAGGGGGCGAGGCGGAGTGACTGGGGGATGAAATTCCAGAGATTGGGGGCAGAGTTGCTGAAGGCTCTCCCGCCAATGGTGGGTTGGGTGGGTAGGGGACGTGGAGCAGGCCAGAGCCAGTTGAGTTGGTAGGGGGTTAGGAGGTCATAGAGATAGGGCGAGGCCATAGAGGGCTTTGTAAGTGAGGACCAGGATCTTGAACAGAATGCTCTGAAGGATAGGGAGCTAATGGAGTCGGGCGGCCTGAGGGGTGAGGTAGTGGCAGAGTCGGCCGATGTTATGGAGGTGAGGGAAGGCAGAGCGGGTCATGCCTTGGATGTGGGGAAGAAAAGACCATTGTGGTGCATCAAAGTAAAACAATAAAACTGCACTACTCCATCTCTCACATCACTCAAATACATTCTTCATCAAATGGCTATCTAATTCTCTTTTGAATTTATTGCTACAATTGTCCTCCCCGGGCAATCTATTTGACATATTCATTGTGTTTCAAATAATTAAATCTGAACTGTCCGCTCACCTTCCTCAAGTCCATGTCCTGAATAACTACTTTAACTGTTTTTTTTTTTGTTGTTCTTTTGTTGCTTTTCAGACTTGTATTCAGTATGACACCAACTCCCTTCATTATCCTGGCAGCCTCTTTGCTACTTGTCACTCACAACTCTCCAGCTGTTTGCCGAGCTGTTCATGTAAACATGTTCCATCGAGGTGGTTCCAACATCAATGAAGTCATGGAAGATGAGATTCATCAATCTGTTTCCTACATTCTAAAGGAAAAGGTACTCCAGTCTTTGGTACAAAATCCTAAGTACATCGTGATTCGTTCACTATTACCTCCAGATAACTTACAGATAGTGAAAGATATCACTGCAAAAGAAGTCAGTCGCCTCTTGCGTCAAGTTTCTCTAAAGTTAGAAAGCCCGCTGCCTGCCCAAGGAATCAACCAAAAAATGATAGAAATCTTTGCAGAACGTTCGAAGAGGCCCAGTGACCCGCCTATTTCCTTGGATCTCACTTTTCACATCTTAAGAGAAATGATTGAGATTGCTAAGAACGAGAACCAGTGGATACAAGCACACACCAATCGCAAAATTATGGACATGGTTGGCAAGTGACATATGTATCTAGAGCCTAATAGTGGAATTTCATTCTGTTGTCCAATGGAGAGTTGAGCCTTGCAGATTCATTATGTGGTCCTCAAAATGCACTAATTAAATCTGTCTTACACAGCATCACTGTAATAATCTGAGATGTTCTATTCGCAGATTACCTCATAAGTAGAATATTCATGAAATAGTTGTTCAGCACGAAATAAATGTTTTTTGTCATTTATATTTTGTAATAAAGATTATTTAAAAGCATTCTTTTGACTCAATGCTTTGTTTAGCCAGGGATGGCTGTTCACTGGAGAGAAGCACTGGAGGACCCAAAGGGTTCAACAAACTACAACAAAATAACAAATTACATTTGTGTAGCGCCTTTCACGACAGGAGAATGTACTGACTCTTTGATTCTGTCAAAATTCTATGTATAATTCAATTAAATGGGTTGAAATTCAACTCTTAACATTAGCATGATCACAGTAACTAGCATTTTATTTAATGTTGGGATTTATGATGGGAACAGTTGTGTGAGAGAGCTATAAATTGGACAGTTTTTGAAGATACCACTGTAATGCTGTATTGCTATGTTCAAAAGAGATTATCTCTGGCACTAAAGACGAATGGAGATGAATGAGAGCAGGAAAAGATTAATTGGTACGGCATTGATTAGATGTTAAGACTAACATGGATACTATTGGAGGTTTAACCAGGTGTGCAATGTAGAACGAGGTATTTCTGCAGAGTTATTACTGATAGCTGATGCATTCTACCAATAGGCTCATAGTAAATATGTGTCATTCCAATGTATTCATGAGAAAAGGTTATAAAGGCCTATTATTCATATAATAATAATACTTGCATTTCACTTTGGGAGGAGGTCCCAAAGCTTCATGGGATTTACTGTGAAGTGGAGTGACTGCATTTGTGGATTAAACAATTTGAATCACATTGCAATGCAACATTCTGTTACTTACACATGACACTACCATGACAAAAATAATATGCGTTGTTTTGGTCTCTTCTTCCTGACCAAGAACAAATTTGCCAAATAGACAGTCAGGAGCAGAAGCAGGAGAGCGAGGGGCGGTGTTGATAAAAGCCACAGCGAGGAGAGCAGTCAGCCAGTCAGGAGCAGAGGCAGGAGAGAGATAAAAAAATAAGCGACCAGCGGGAAAATTAAAAAGTGACATCAGAGCGACTTCACAATCAAAGCATCCTGAAAGAGTAAACTAACAACTAACACTAACTACTAACTAACAGTAAACTAACAGCTAACACTAACTACTAACTAACAGTAAACTAACACTAACTACTAATTAACAACACTAAAAATTTTTAAAAAAAGATTAATTAAGAATTTAACTTTTAAAAAATAATAATAATTAATTAAATAAAACTTTAATTCACAGTGGGGGGGTGGGAGAGGTGACAATGGCGGGACAGGTGTTGCGTGAGGACTGTAACGTGGGAGTTGCTGGAGGGCAGTCTGAGCCCCCGCAACCACACCTGCAGCAAATGTCTGCAACTGAGGCAGCTCCAGCTCAGAGTATCTGAGTATCCGAGCTGGAATCCGAGGTGCAGACAGTGCGCAGCATCAGGGACAGGGAGTGCTACCTGGATAGTTTCATCCTGGAGCCAGTCACTCCCCTGAGGCTCAGGGAATGTATAGATAATAGTATCAGTCAAGGACAGGATAGGGTGTCTGACAGGCAGGAGGTTAAGGGAACACCAGAGAGTGTGGTAGTGAAGCCTCAGGCTTTAACCTTGGCCAACAGGTACGAGATCCTTGCAACCTGTGTGGACAAGGAAGCCTGTGAGGAGGAAGGAAAACGTGATTCCAATAGTAGGGGAAACAAACAGAAAGTTGTAGTAATTGGGGATGAGACTATCAGGCGGACAGATACACTTATTCTTTTAGAAGGGAGAGACTAGATAGTGTTAATGTTCAGAGGGACTTGGGTGTCCTTGTACACCAGTCACAAAAAGTTAGTTTGCAGGTACAGCAAGCAATTAGGAAGGCTAATGGTATGTTGGCATTTGTTACAAAAGGGTTAGAATATAAGAGTAGGGAAGTCTTGCTGCAACTGTATAGGGCCCTGGTGAGACTGCACCTGGAGTGTTGCGTGCAGTTTTGGTCTCCTTATTTAAGAAAGGATGTACTCGCCTTGGAGGGGGTACAATGTATATTCACTAATAATAATAATAATCCTTGCATTTGATACAGCGCTTTTCACGTCAGGAGGACGTCCCAAAGCGCTTCACAGAGCACACTGTAAAGTGAATTGACTGTATATTTGTGGGCGAACGCGGCAGCCAATTGCGCACAGCAATGTCCTACAAACAGTCATAGATTGAAAATGACCAATTTATTATTGTTTTTGGTTTTGGAGGGATTATTATTAGGCTCTGTGTGGAGTAAGGAAACTTGCCCAAGGTGTCGCCCTGCCTGGAATTGAACTCAGGTCTCTCGCTTGCAAAGCGAGTGCTCTAACCACTGAGCTACAGGACTCCACTAGGTTGGTACCTGGGATGAGGGGGATGAGTTATGAGGATAGGTTGAGCAATTTAGGCCTATATTCTCCAGAATATAGAAGAATGAGAGGTGATCTTCTAGTAACCTATAAGATTATAAAGGAACACAACACAATAGATAGTGGGAGACATTTTTCCCTGGTTGGAGAAACTATAACCAGGGGTCACACTCTTAAAATTAGGGGTAAGCCCTTTCGCACTGAGTTGAGAAAAAACTTTTTCACTCAAAGGGTGGTGAATTTATGGAATTCTCTACCCCAAAGGGCTGTAGATGTTCAGTCCTTGAACATATTCAAGACTCAGATTGATAGATTTCATGTGGATAAAGGGATTAAGGGATATAGGGATAAGGTGGATAGGTGGAGTTAGAATAGATCAGCCATGATCTTATTGAATGGTGGGGCAGGCTTGAGGGGCCGAATGGCCTACTCCTGCTCCTAATTCTTATGTTCTTATGTTTAAACAGTGAGAGTGCCCCTTAAAAGGATATTAAAACATTTCGTCAAATTTTCCAACAATATTCAATTTTTTTTATTTTAAAAGACACAAATTCATCAGAAAGACCACTTCAGAAAAGCATCATCCATGAATTAATAATGTCTATGACTCATAAATCCATCAAATACCCATTTCTTGTCCTCTCTCAGGCACTTTCTCATTCTGCAATACAATATTAGGAATTTGTGCAATTTCAGTAATAGCAAATTGACGATTTTTGACTCTCAACAAGAATGGAATCAAACTTATCTCATTGTATTAACCTCCTATACTTTGGCTTCACAAAATGCCTTCAATCATCTTATATCTTCAAGATTTAGATTCTACTATCCATTAAATAATAGTTATGGGGAAATAATCTATAGCACACACACAACATGCTCACACATATGAATGCAATTATTTAAATTCTAAACCTTATGTATCAGAATAAACTATGCACAAATCTCACAATACTTATAAAGGGTTGTTCCAAACAATTCATTTCTAATAAAATTTACTTAATCCTACATGAAAACCTCAATACATGATTTCACCAGAGTGCTTATAGTGGTGTTTCAATGAACAATTACTGACACTACTGAAAACATATAAAAGTACAGTATTTGGTCTAATTGAAAAACAACCTCACTATTATTAACTTACTTCACACCAATGTGATCAATGAACAAAAACAAAAGAAAAACTTGAATAATACGTTTGCAATCTTGTATAAATGTCCTGTAAGTCACTGGTGAATCTTATTCGATAACCAGTCTGTGGGCTGTTTCATAGTTCTGTCCTCTTTGTTAATGTAACTTCAGTACTGACCTGTAGGGAAAAGATAAAAATATGACATATCTATTGCAATATGTATTGGTATCTACATACTCAGCTAAAACATGGCATTCTTTCTCCAAATGAAGGATGCAAAAACATTTTCTGTCAACCTCACTATGGAGCATGCTTTTAGTCCAAATAAATCTGCAACAAATCTTTGATTCAAAACAACTGGAAAAAGGGTCTGCATTACCCTGAACAATGAAAACAATGCAAAACTACAATTGCATGTATAACTAGTCTCGAGGGAGGTTTGAGTGAGTAAAATGGAAATGAGCAACTAATTAAATGTTAGGTTCATTGATGGACTATTAAAAAATATTATTTGAGCCTCAGGTATGATTACCTCTCCTCTAGTTTGTATTTATCATAAGTTATTTTAAATAGGGCTGCACCATGGATAAGGACAAGAAAACAAATAACCTAATTTGAGTTGCAAATAACCTAATATGAGACATATGAAGGCCTAATTTTTCTAGATACTAATCAATGTTAGCTTGGCCGAATCAGTAGCACTCGTGCTTCTATTTCAGCCTCTGCCTTAGAATCAGTCTAGGGCCATAACCTAGTCTAGAATCCTCCGCTTCATCATTGGCAGAGCTACACCCACTATGCCCGAACCTCTGGAACTCCCTTCTTCAATCCTTCTATCTTGCCCCTCTCTACCTATCTTCAAATCGCATCAGATTTTCCTCTTTGACCGTATCTCCTCTCTCCTCAATTTGAGGATCACACTCTACTATACAAGATGTCATCCCATGTGAAGGCACTATATGAAAGCAAGATGTTGTCGTTGTACGCTGACTCTCCAATGCAGTGCTGGGGAAGTGCTGTATTATTGGAGATCATGTCCTTTGGATCAGCTATTAAACCAAGATCATGTCAAATGCAAGATTTATTTATTAAATAATGGATCAAATAGCCTCCAACTTTGGTCAAACATTTCTATAGTTCTACATGCTGTAGTTCTAAGGAAGGTGCTGAACAATGAGTAATATGGGAAGCTTTGTTACAAATCAAAGGTTCCAACTTTAGAGAACCACTTTTTGTAAATGTTATCAGAATTGAATCTCAAAGGGGCATTTTCTGTTTATTGAATCTTGAGAGAAGCACACACTATCCTGGTAAGCAGAGTCTCTTTAGGGCTGAACTGTCTCCAAACTGAGGTGCCAGGCAATGAAATAACAGAATAACAGGCTCCTCTAGGGCAGAGTGACCATAACATGATGAAATTTAACATTAAGTTAGAGAGTGATTAGTTGAATCCGAAGCCAACTTTGTAGGTATGAGAGAAGATTTGGCTATAATGGACTGGGAAATTAGATTAAAAAATGACAGTAGACCAGCATTGGCAAACGTTTAAAGATATAATACATAATTCCCAGCTATCACATATTCCCTTGAAAAATAAAAATACCACGGGAAAAATGGCTCAACCTTGGCTAACTAGAGAAGTTAGGGAAAGTATAACATTAAAAGAAGAGGCATATAATAATGCCAAAAAGAACAGTAAACCTGAGGATTGGGATGGCTTTAGAGATCAGCAAAGGAAAACCAAGAAATTGATTAAGAGTGAGAAACTGGAAGATGAGAGTAAACTAGCTAGGAACATAAAGACAGATTGTAAGAGTTTTTACAAGTACATAAAGAGGAAGAGACTATCAAAAGTGAATGTGGGTCCATTGCAGGCAGAGATAGGAGACATTATGATGGGGAACAAGGAAATGGCAGTGCCATTAAACAATTTTTTGCTTCTGTCTTCACGTTAGAGGACACTGAAAACTTACCGAAAATAGAGGGGAACCTGGAGCTAATGTTAGTGAGGAACTTAAAGAAATGAACATCTGTAAAGCAATAGTACTAGAGAGATTGATAGGATTAGAAACCGATAAATACCCTGATGGCCTGCATCCTAATGCTTTAAACAAGATGGCTGCAGAGATAGTGGAAGCTTTATTTTTGATCTTTCAAAATTCCCTGGATACTGGAATGGTTCCCAGTGTTTGGAAGGTGACAAATGTAGCGTCGATATTTAAGAAGAGTGGGAGACAAAAAATGGGGAACTATAGACCAGTTAGTCTGACATCAGTGGTAGGGAAAATTCTAGAGTCCTTAATTAGGGACGTTGTTATGGGGTACTTAGAAAATCATGACATGATTAGGCAGAGTCAACGTGGCTTTACGAAAGGGAAATCATGTTTAACAAATCTTAGAGTTTTTTGAGGACGTAACTAGCGGGTTAGATAGGGGGGAACCAGTAGATGTGGTGTATTTGGATTTCCAGAAGGCATTCGACAAGGTGCCACATAAAAGGCTGTTGCATAAGATTGGAGCCCATGGAATTAAAGGTAATATAATAGCATGGATTGGAGAGTGGCTAACAGGAAGAAAACAGAGAGTAGGGATAAATGGGTCCTTCTCAGATTGGCAGGATGTGACTAGTGGAGTGCCACAAGGATCAGTGCTTGGGCCTCAATTATTTACAGTCTATATCAATGATTTAGATGAGGAAATAGAACTTAACATATCTAAATTCGTGGACGATATGAAGATAGGTGGAAAAGTAAGCTGTGAGGATGACACACGAAGAATGCAAAGGGAAATAGACAGGCTTGGTGAGTGGGCAAGAAGGTGGCAGATGGAGTATAACGTGGGGAAGTGTGAAGTTATTCACCGAGGTAGTAAAAATAGAAAAGTGGATTATTTTCTGGAGGGGGAGAGACTAGCTAGTGTTAGTATTCAGAGGGATTTGGGTGTCTTTGTACACCGGTCACAAAAAGTTAGTATGCAGGTACAGCAAGCAACTAGGAAGGTTAATGCCATGTTGGAGTTCGTTGCAAAAGGGTTAGAATACAAGAGTCGAGAAGTCTTGCTGCAGTCGTATAAGGCCTTGGTGAGACCGAACCTAGAATACTGTGTGCAGTTTTGGTCTCCTTATTTGAGAAAGGACATACTCGCCTAAGAGGAGGTGCAGCGTAGATTCACTAGGTTGGTTCCTGGGATGAGGGTTTGGCCTATGAGGATAGGTTGAGTAAATTAGGTCTATGTTCTTTAAAATATAGAAGAATTAGAGGTGATCTTATAGAAACCTATAAGAATCTTAAGGGTGTTGACAGGGTAGATGCCGTGAAACTGTTTCCCCTGGTTGGAGAATCAAAAACTAGGAGTCATAGTGTCAAGATTAAGGGTCAGCCTTTTTGAACTGAGTTGAGGAAACATTTCTTCACTCAGAGGGTAGTGAATTTGTGGAATTCTCTACCCCAGAAGGCTGTGGATGCTCAGTCATTGAACATATTCAAGACTGAGATCGATAGATTTCTAAAAGATAGAGGGATTAAGGGATATGGGGATAGGGCGGCTAAATGGAATTAGGTTAGAAGATCAGCCATGATCTTAATAAATGGTGGGGCAGGCTCGAGGGGCTAAATGGCCTACTGCTGCTCCTACGTCTTATGGTTTTATAGAATCAAATCCACGCTCTGTGGAGGTCTCAGTAATCCGGCTCCTGAGCTGGTCGGCATCAGTCCAAGGTACTGTTGATGATACTGTTGATATCCTCTCCAGTTGGCTCAGGAATTGAAGGGGACAGGGATTGTTCCCAATCAGTTCTTGTTAACCCTAAAAGTCAAAACCCTAATAAGTAGGGTGGTTCTAGTTCAGGGGTCTCCAGCCGGTCGACGCTAGGTGGCATGATCAAGAAAAAAGAGGAAGAAGCGATAGAACTAGGTAGTTATTGAGTCCAATTGAAAACAAAGCAGAAAGTATCTCACACATCTCAAAATAAAAATATAAACTTTAATGTTTAAACTGCGGTAAATATCACTGCTTCCGAGATGCCACCTAGTGGTGATTGTCGAGTTGGAAACTCCTGCTCTGGTTGGAGAAGCAATAGGAAAGGAGTCTGCACTCCACACCAAATGAAAAACATTCATATATAGAACTCATATATTGTTTGGTTTGGAGGCTCATAATCATGGTGATGGGTTTCCATGTGTGTCCGACACGCAGCTTAACAAACATGACTACAGAAATTAAAAATTTGAACAAGAAAGTAAAATCCTACCTTTGAGTCCTTTACCGTCATTCGATTAAAATAATGTCATTTGCAGGTACAAGATTCCTTTTTAATTAATTGCAACATATTAATCTTTTATCATAGATTGCAAATCTATTCTCAGGCTGACAGATCCCTGGGTTCTGATAATACAGAACAAACTGAGGAAGAGGGCACAAAATAGTTGTGATGGTGGCTAAGACTCAGTTGACAGCTAAGTTGACTGTAAATTGTAAATTTATAATAATTTGGTCACTCAATTGTACAACGGTAAATTGCACATAACAGAGTGGCCGAAGAGGGAAAGCATCATTAACTAAAGTACATTTACAGTGATTCAAAGCAACCGTCAAAACTCATTAAATATATTCTGGATACAAGGAGATGCAAGAATTATTTAACAAGAACAAAGAGAAATACATGACTGTTCAAGTACAGTAGCTTTGATATTCTGCAGTCCAAAGCTCTTCATTCCATTCGTGACAAAATTTTCCTTCATGAAGAACCACAGAAATTTGTAGTACAAAAGGAAGCCATGAAGCCCAAAGTGTCTGTTCTGGCTCTTTCGAAGAGTTTTATGGTTAGGCATTCTCATGCTTTGTTCCCATAGCCTTTTATATTTCTCCTTTTCGGATATTTGTTTGATATTTATCTAACTACTACTTAAAAGCTAGTATGAATTCTGTCTCAAACATTTTTCTTGGTAGGGCATTCCATGTCATAACAACCTTCTGTGTGTAAAAACATCCTCCTAACCTCTCCCTTTGCTCCTTCAGTAATAACTTTAAATCTATGCCCTCTATTTACTGACTCACCAAACAGTGGCAATAATCTCTTCCTGTTTACTTTAGCAAAACCCCCGTTACTTTAAAAACAATCTCTATCAAGCTTCCTCTCAACTTTTTCTGTTGCAGAAAAAAACACAGAATGACACAGTAGGAGGCTATTCAACCCATTATTTTATGTGTGACAGTGTTGTAGATTTGGCTAACGCTTACCATAACGTAATCCGGACATGCGAATAGCTTACACATTTGGAATCATCAGAATTTAAATCTTTAGCATTCCCAAATCGGGAGTCCCACAAAGTCATCATTGAAGCATTCATGATATTCTGTCAGACTTTTGACACTGGCAAAAAAAAAGTTTTCACTCCACATACATTTGTTTTGAACAAATGTATGTGGAATGAAACAAAGGATCACAAAGATTTACAAAGAATGTACAGCACTGAAACAATCCATTCGGCCCAACCAGTCCATGCTGGTCTTTATAGGCCACATGAGCCAAGGCTATTTTGTTTTCTATCGCCCCCACTCCCTCTCTGTGTCACATAATGTTTCTTCCCCCACCGCCTCCACCCATTAGTTTAAATCCTCTTCTGAAGAACTAGTTATTTTCCCAGTGTGAAGATTGGTGCCAGCTTTGTTCAGGTGTACCCTAAGTATAAGGGAATTGACAAGGAAGAGAAAGGCATGTTAATAGTATAATCTGTCAGTTTACAAGGAATTGCTACTTACACCCTGAAGGGCTTAGAAACATTTCACACTCACTGGGTTAAAATTCATCAGGTATCAGTTACTCTGTTTTTGATACTGGCCAAAAACAAAAAAACATACACAGCCAACCTACTAGTAAGCCTATATGGCAATCTCATCTATTCTTTGTAGCACACTCCACATCAATGCAACCAAAGAAGTTGAAAACTTGGCGTATACCTCATTTAATCCAACTGAAGAAAGATTCACTTTCCCCGGAGGGAGTGCTGCCTTGTGCACCCACTGGGTTGGGATTTGATGACGGGACATGAGATGAAGATGGTGGTGATGATGGTGATGAAGATGAAGACCCAGCAGCTTGTAGTTTTGGTTGCTCACCATCAGTCGGTTCTCCTTCCTCTTCACCCACTCCACCTTCCTCGATCTCTTCCTCCTCGATTTCTTCCTCGTCTTCACCCTGGTAATCTTTACAGAAAAAGCAGGGGAAAAGACATCAGTGATCCAGAATCTGAACCTTACCAGACCATAAGTTAATTTCTTGCTAAAACTTCTCAGTCAGCAACTTTATAACATTGGTTCAGAGTGAATATTAGTCAGTACATTGACCGGCCTACTAAGGGAAGGGATATACAGTGATAGAGGGATGTTCCTATTATTATAAGAGCACAACATGAAGGTCAGTCACTTTATCACAAAGTGGAGAATAAGATCCACAGAGATTCCAGGATTTCCTAGAGATAACAGCAAAACCTGATATCTGGGTTGACTTCATCCATTTTGATAACTGGTCCTCTGAACACGCCTCTTTTTGTTCCTCACAACCTTCAAATACATTACTTAGTCTGAGGTGCACTTAAAGCACAAATTCCTATCTAATCTATTCCTATTCCAACATTGTTACCACCTAATGCTGTGGTCATCTCCGCTTCTCAATTATTTGAGTGCTCCAAGACACTACCCACGTGAAAGGCACTATATTGTATATAAATGAAAAGTTGTTGGATAAATACCTTTACTGAGGCAACCAAACCACTTAAACTACTGGCTTAAAGAGCTGTAACACAGACGTTCAGATATCAATGGCACCTTCTACCCAGCACATGTAATGAGGATAGTGAAAGCTGTCTACTTACATCTATCAGCATGGCCATTTTAGACCAGCTGAGTGCAAATGCATAATGTTTAAAGATTACACTCTGTTATGGTGCAGGACATTGCTATCCTTTTACTTCTGGGAACTGCATTCAAATTCATTAGACATTCATTTCCTTATCTAATGTTATGGAAACTATATGAAACCTATTAAGACAAAGGAGAAAATGTGGTAGAGGACAGAGGATGTCCTTTATTCCCCTATTTTGTTGCAATCCCCCTTTTGTTTTGCATCATTCACACCTTTTGAACCCATCATCTCCTGTCCTCTACCCCATTTTCTCCTTTATCTTCCTTGCCCTGCCTCCCCCCTCTCTGTTAGCCCTTAAAAGCCTCTTTTTCCCAACAGGCCCCAGTTCTGACGAAGGGTCTTGGACCTGAAACCACTCCATAGTTACTGCCTGACCTGCTGAGTGTTCCCAGGGACTTCTGTTTTTTTCACATTTCCAGCATCTGCAGTATTTTGCGTTTTGTTGAAACCTATTAAGCTCTCCTGGTTGTGTTTCTTTACTGTGTGTTTTGTAGACACACACGACAGCCAATTTGCACACAGCAATATCCCATAAACAGCTATGGAGTGAATGGCCATTTTCTTGAATAGATTGTTGGTCAGTACACTCCCTTCTCTTTTTGAATAGTGCCAGGGGACCTTTAATGTCCCCCTGAACAGGCAGACAAGGCCTTGTTTAATGTTTCATCCGAGGGATGGAATCTCCAACAATGCAGCACAACCCCAGCTCTGCAAAGGAGTGGCAACTTAGAATATATGAGTTCTACGTCCCAACATGGGACTTGAATCATTTTGAACAATTTTCTGATTCAAAGTCAAGAGCGCTACCAACTGAATCAGGCTGACCTAGGGGGAATTTCTCCCCAATTATGGGGCTAGAGTAGAAAACTTTTAACTCTAGATCTGGCCTAGGTATACCATACATCGAGAATGATGCAAAAGTTGTCTAAAATGGAATATTTGTCAGCTTTGATACCTCTTAAAAGAGCTTGCAGAAAACTAAATTCAAGGTTTAAAATGTTAAATGGATTAAACGAAGACCCAGGTCGAATTTCTTCCCAACAGTGCCACAATTTTTACCCAATGATCTAACAAAAATCAACATCTATCTGGTTCCAATGCTTTTCTGGCCTCTGAACCTGCAATGGGTTGAAATAAACATTCAAAGCATGGTTCCTATTCTAACTCTTCCTCAGATTTCCCACCCTCATAGAATCCACAATTTGGTATCACCTAAATCTTGAAAAGAGACACCTCAGAGGGGACCATATGCAATAATTTAGAAGGGATTGAGGTAGGAGATCCAAAACAATACTCTTGGATGCACTGAGACATTAGAACAAGAGGACACAGGTTCAGAGTTGCAATGGGCAATTTCAGAATAGACACCAAAAATTATTGATGATGTTGGGTAGATATACTCAAGGGATGAGATTAAATGAGTTGAAGGACTTTCTTCATCAGAACCTCTTTTGTAATCTTGATTCATTGTATTTCTCTGATACTCCTTTCACCTCTAATGGCCTGCTGGTCTATGCCCTTGGCCCTTCACTTAGACTCTCAATAAATAAAGGCAGCTCAGATAAATTTACTGAAAATATGTTTTTCAGTTCAAAACTTTAGCTTGTGCTCAGTCCTCTCACAATTAGATACAGCAAGTTGCATTGCACAAAGCATTGCTCTAGAGTTAAATCTAAATTGGTTACACATTGGGATAGTAGATGTAAGTTTCTCTGTCTTTTTTAAGTTTTGCATTCATAAAACACAATATATGACTAGCCTTGGATTTGATATAACAACGTATCATGTCATCAAGATGTCTCAAAGCGTTTCATAGGATGTACTGTATGTACGTAACAGTACTAATACTATTATTATTATGTTCTAGATGAACGAGGCAGCCAATTTGCACACAGCAATGTCCCACAAACAACCATGAAGTGAATAATCAATTTTAGTAAGGAGCTTGTTGGCCAGGACACCAGGAGAAACTCTCTTCTCTTTTTGAATAGTGGAAGTCTTATTTCTGTTATAGTTTGTGAATAAAAATAAACAGGGGCCAGATCCAATTCAGAAAGACATCTTGTCAATATTTGAAGGTAATTGTTCGTTATTATTTGAAAAAGGACCCATTCAATATAAGTTCCAGAACTTAGTTCTTCATCATCATAACAGGCGAGTGTTAAACATAGGAACAACAACTTGCATTTATATAGTGCCTTTCACACAGGTTGTGTCTCAAAGCACTTAACAGTGGTGGAGCTTAACCCTGAGCCAAAAGAGAGGGGAGGTGACCAACGTTTATGTGAAGATGGGCAGGGAGGGGTCAAAGCAGAGGGATTGAGGCAGAGCGTTCCAGAGTCTTGGAATGTTAAATTAGGAAATAGATCTTGTTTGCTTCATTCATGTTGCCAGGTAACGGTTTGTTGTTCCCAGTTAATTTATTGGTTGGATTAACACTCAGAGATGACACATCAGTGTTAAAATGAATTCATTAATCAGAATGGATGGATGAACAGCCTTCTTGCAGATATCTTGACCTTGCAGAATTTCTACATTTCTACTTACTATCACCTTTAGCATTCTATTGGATATCGAACTTTATCATCTATGTTCTTGCCACTGTATGAAACTGCCGGCTTTGTACTGCATGAAAGAACATACAGAAGCCAACTCACTATCTCACACAGCAATTCTCCACAACATTGGGATCAACTAAAGAAACGGATTCAGAAAATGGTAAGAAAGCTGATTGTGTTTACACATTCCTGGGTTTAGTTTCCCCATTTTAAAACTTATTTTTGAACTTCGCAACTTCAAAACATGCCACAGCACTGGATTTCCCAAGGGCCTGTCCACAACACTGAGTAAACAAAAGCTGGGTGAATGCAGGCTGACTGGCAGCCAGTGAAGCTGACTATCTCAAGGATCAGTTGCGGGTTCTAATTCTCAAGATGAATATGATATCCTCAGGAGGTAGCAGTGCAGCACATTGCCTTCCAGGTGACTTTTACTGCATTGCTGCAAAGTCAGTGCTGTATTGGAAGGTTTCAGCTTGGCTAAATTGATAACACTCTTGCCTCTGGGTCACAAGCTTGTGGGTTTAAGCCCCATGTTGGGACAATAATGAGTTTACAGTCTTTGCTGCGGAATCAATGCATTGTCAGAGGTGCCATCCTTTGCACAGGACGTAGGTTTAGATGGATGTTTAAGATCACATGATACTAATTCACAAGGAGGTGGGATTTTCTCCAGGTGTCCTGGTCAACAGATCTCCAGATAAAATTGTTCATTCACTTCATGGCTGTTTGTGGAATATTGCAGTGTGCAAATTTGACTTGCCTTGTTTGCCTACAAAAATATAGTCACTATACTTGGCAGCAAATCATCTGGAAAGTGCTTTGAGATGCGGAGTAGCATCCCGGATTGCTTGACAGTGTCGGAGTCTGACCTGAAGCCAGGGGGAGAGGGAGGGGGGAGGTGACCATAAGCACGATCAAAAAGGAACGGGATTTTAAAGTGGAGAGGGAGGGGGCAATCCATTCCCCTTCACTCCCATTTCAACAGCCTATGTCAGAAATTGCGAGCAGAAACCTTTTCACTTCATGGAATCCCACAACAACTGATATATAACAGCCTGACTGAAAATTCATGGCTCTTCAGTCATACTCATGACTGTACTTTTTCTCTTCAACTGTGCCTTCACCTCCCCTCTCAACTCTCTACCCACTCCTCGTCCCTCCCTTCCCTCCCCTCACCCTGACCAGGTCCTCCCTGCTCGGGTCCCAACCGAACTGTCCAGCGCCTTGGGAGGTCCTCCCGACGTGAAAGACATTCTATAAATATAATCTTGTTGTTGTTGTTGTACATTTGCAGATTCACCAAAAAGAAGAATATTCCATTGAGCAAGATAACCAGCTGGAGTGATTGACTGTACCAAGAACACAGTTGTAATCTTATAGGTAACTCAGATGGAAATACAGGAATCGTAATAGGATCATTGACTTTGTACCATATAGGAGTGTGCATGAGTCTGGTTTCCTCACCCACAGGGTCTCTTCCACAAATCTGTATTTCATTTTCCACCTTAAGAAACCATCAAATATATCTAAGTGCTGTAAAACCAAATTGCTTGCTTGAGTGAAATAACTTGAACCATAACAGCAATAATCAAGAAACTATTATTGTAATATCATCATTGCTGTGCGGAATTGGCTGCCGCTTTTTGCCCACAAATATACAGTCAATTCATTTTACAGTATATACTGTGAAGTACTATATCAAATGCAAGTATTATTATCATCATAATATTATCATAATAATTATCAATGTCATAACATAACATTTTTCTTTACACAGAAAATACCTGTCTGAAAATTTATCCTTTGCAACATCTGTTCTGCTTTTCCAAGATTTACCACAAAATGATCCATATTTTCATATCCAGGCTCTGTTCTCTCCATCTGGGCAGATTTTGATGTCTCAATAATTCTAAAAAGGTCAAGATTACAATAAAGTGATATCACAACAGACAGATTGACAATTGGCACCAACTGACTGTCCTGTTTTCTTAAGGAAGATTTTCTTTATATGTTGTGATTTAATTAATCAGAGTGAGGAGATTTCCTTTTTAACTTTAATTTGTACCAGAGTTAGCCATGACTATCATGATGTTCAGAGTTGAAGGATCAGTTAAAATCTACACAAATTCATCCGGTCTTTCCAGCAATACTGAGCAGATGGAGTTTTAGGACAATGTTTAAACAATAATAATCTGTCACTCAGACATAGCAAAGAGCATTTCTCATCTGGTGTACAGATTCCATTGTTTCCACATGGTTTTGGTTCGGGAGTGGGGTGGGGGGGAAAATAGGGTGAAATCTGTGTCATTTCATCATGTGCTCCATATGAAATGCCACCCATTTCACCCCAATAAATAAGAAAAACATTTCAATGCATTCTTTCATGAATAACTTTAGTAATATGAAAGTTTACTGTTGCTTGATGTTAAAATCCCAACAACAATTTGCACTATACAGTCCACAAAAATTTTGCCCACAAAATATATAGTCAATTCACTTTACAGTATATTCTGTGAAGCGCTCTGAGACATCTCAAAGATGCGATAAGGCTCTATACCAAATGCAAGGATTATTATTATACAGTGCCTTTCACCTAGATATAAAATGTCTGAAAACACTTCACAGAGACTGAAGGGAGTCCAACAGGGTACGAGATCGCGGGTAGGAGGAAATTCCAATGGGAAACCTTATTAAGGAAACCAGTAACGAATTCTGCAAATTATTATAATCATCCTTGCATTTGATATAGCACCTTATCACATCTTTGAGACGTCTCAAAGCGCTGTGGACCACTCTATCCTCCTTCACCACCTCTCCTCTCAACCTTCAATGTTCTGTCCTTGAATGGTTTGGATTCTATCTCTCACATCGGCTCCACTTTGTCTCCACAAACAGCTTCTCCTCCAGCCCCCGCACTGTCTCGGGTGGCGTTCCTCAGGGCTCTGTCCTCAGTCCTCTCGTTTTCAACCTGTACATGCTCCCTTTTGGTAACATCATCCTCAGACATGGCATCAACTTCCACAATGTACGAGGATGACACCCAACTCTATCTCTCTGCCTCCACCCTCGACTCCAGGACAACTGACGCCCTGACAGAATGTCTGTCTGACATCAAGTCCTGAATGAGAGCCAACTTTCTATAGTTGAACGTCAGCAAGATCAAGGCTCTCCGGATTGGCTCCAGTCAGCGTCTCTGCACCTCAGGCACTAGCAGCGTCAGCATCCATGGATGCACACAACTCCTCCTCACCAAGCCAGTCAGGCATCTAGGTGTCTTATTCGACCATCAACTGTACTTTCTCCCCCACATCCGTGCCATGACCCATTCTGTCTTCCCTCAACTCCGCAACATTGCGCAGCTCCTCCATTGCCTCACCCCTCAGGCCGCCGAAACCCTCATACATGCCTTCATTACAACCAGGCTTAACTATGGCAACGGCCTTCCCTACTCTTCTATCCACAAACTGCAGATCATCCAGACCTCTGCAGCTCGTGTCCTCTCCTGCACCAGGCTCCGTGACCCCATCATGCCCACCATCGCCTGGCTCGATTGGCTCCCCATCCCTCAGAGGATCAAGTTCAAAATCCTCGTCCTCACTTTCAAGCCCCTCCATGGCCTTGCCCCCTCCTATCTGCTAACTCATCATCAACCTGTCTGCTCCCTCCACTCAGCAGGCTCTGGCCTGCTCCATGTCCCCCGCCCAACCAGCCCCGCCTTCCGCGGTCGGGCCTTCAGCCTCTCTAACCCCACCATCTGGGACTCCATCTCACATTCCCTTCACCTCACTCCCTCCCTTGCCTCCTTCAAAGCACATCTCAAGTCCTCCTCTTCGACTGTGCCTTCAGCAACCCTCCTACCCTGTCTTCAGTCCACCCTCCCTGATCCCAACACTTCCCCCCACCGACTTGGATCCTAATCCCTGACTGTTCAGGGTCTTGGGATGTCCTCCCAACGTGAAAGACGCTTTACAAATGTAATTTTGTATTGTATTGAAAAGTGAATTGACTGTATATTTTTAAATTAGACTCAAAGGATACATATTTAATTGAATGCTGTATAGAACATACTTACTTTTTAATCAGCTGCTTTGTATTCTGTGAACAGAAGAATAGCATGAAATGACCTTCAGTGTAAAGACAACGAGAAAGACGCAAACTATGTAAAGCTTGTACTACAAACTGAGCAGCAAAGGATATGCAGACCTGTAGGAACAATGCCATCTGGGGTTCCTCCATAGACTGCAACGCAGTTTCCACCAGTTTGCTGGCTACCTCTAGGTGATCTCCGTGCTGCCTCATCAGAGATCGGACGTACTGAACTTTTTCCTCCTGCTCACGTGTAATGCACTGAACCATGTCCTTCTTCCTTTCTTCCAGAATAGCATACAGAGCATCAAACTTTTCACAAAGCAGCTCTTTCTGTCTTCTGCTGTTGTCCTGCAAAAAGGACATTCGAATCTGTTTCTCACTAATGGTTCAAATTATGGTATAAGATACAGTGCTGGAGTTAAATCATGGCAAGTGTTTTCTGAACATTGTTTCTCTGGGTCAGGATTTAAAAAAATGCATATATTAGGTTCCTTCCAACAAAAACTGTTTCACAAATGATAAGGTGGTAGGGTTTTGTTTTTGGACAGCCGGGTGTCTGACACATGCGGAAACCTACCGCCATACTCAAACCAAACTGAGAATTTCACATATGTATCCCACCTATACATGAAAATTTCCCTGAATCTGGAGTGGAATGCATACTCGTTCCTCTGAGGGACGTATCCTGCTTACCTAATTCTGGACAGGTTGGGAAGAGCCAAGGCTTAGTGACCCCAAATTGTACAACAGGTCATTGCTAGAGTTTTATTCTCCATTTCATCTGCTCTATTTTAACTCTGTTAGTTTTCTTCCAAATCTAGTTTTGTTTTATAACAGTGGACCGTTTAGACATATCAGTGTTTTATAAGTACAAGAGGGCTATGAGAATTGGAATTCTATGACTCTGATGTGAAAGCTCCAAGGAAAGAGCCACTCATTCTAGGTGATCTCCGTGCTGCTTCATCAGAGATCCCAGCCATCTGGTAATGTGATATCACAGCCAAGAATGAGAATTCATGCAGAGAGTTCCTGAACAGTTGAGAAAGGTATATTTGCATAGTATGAGAAGAAGTAATATCGGAATGAAAGTCTCTATCTCTTCCCCAGGCCACCTCATCCATTTCATCAAGGCCAGACTTGACTAAGCTAATGTTATGCTCGTTGGAATTCATTCAAGATCCACCTCTTTGACTGCACTTACAGTCATCTATCCCCTCCCCATCCCCTGTGTCTTCCACCCCCAGCTCGGGTACCCAACCAGCCGTGTGAAGTGCTTCAAGATATCTAACCATGTAAAAGGAGTTGTAGTGTATTGTAGGTCATTCTGGGCTGCTCAATCGCACCACCTACTGACCTGTTACAGAACCACATTACCAGGTGTCTGGGAAAAATATTCTACTGCATTGGCACTGTATTATACGGTTTTTGCTTATGTTTTACCTGTTGTGTTAAACACACGCATATAAACTAAATTAAGCAGATAAGTGACGCAGTTAAATATAACAAGCCACACAACGTGTGTGCTGGTAATAGAGCTACATGTATAAAACCAGATGAAGTAGTTAAATATAAACAGCTACAAATTAACTTATGAATATAACTCAATCACTGCTTTACATTGATGACAAAGGTTGAAGTAAGGGAACTGAAAAACAACCCGTTCAGGAAACTGCATCTCAGTTCAGGACACAACTAGAATTAAATCAATTTTGCAAGCAGTACTCGAACAAGTAAATATTTTGTAAAATAATACTGTATCTGTTAAAATGTACCAATGCAACTGTGTAAACCTCATGATTCAAAGTATTTATTTAATTGAAATGAAGCTCTATTTAAAAGAAATAGACTTCTTAAAGATTTTAAGAGATTACTATATATATATATACATACCTTTAATCTATTTATCAAAGATTACACATCCCTTGTTTATTACCGCACCTGTGGCATCTTTATAGCAGGAGCAGCTGATACTGACACTATGTCAATAGGCACGAGCTGCAAAAAACAGCTACAATTCCCATTTAATTAGTACCTTTCGTGTCAGGAGGAACTCTCAAAGGTGTTCAGTTTCGAAAATTTGTGGATCAAAATTGCCCCTTCCACATTCGCAAATGTAGCAATGCAGCCATATAAACCAAATGATTCAAAATATTTCTTTAACTATTTTAAAAAAGATAGACATATCTAAAAGATTTTAAGAGACACAGGACATTTTAAGAGGCATTTTAAAAGACTTGCCCTACATCAGGTCCCTAACTGGCTTTGCTCAATCTCTGTCACATTGCCTGCCTCTGACTGTACCTTGCACCCAATGCAACCAAAATCCTTGTCCATGCTTTTCGTCACTTCCCACCTCGACTATTACAATGCCCTCCTCGCCGGTCTCACCAGCTCCACTATTCACAAAATCCAACTAATTCAAAACTCTGTGGCCCATATACTCACCTACTCTAAATTCCAGACGTCTATCACACCAGTCATCGCCAGGCTCTACTGGCTCCCTGTCACAGAATGGATCGACTTCAAGATCCTCACTCATCTGCAAATCCCTTCACACCTTGGCACCTCCTTACCTTTCTGGGCTGCTTACTCCCCACTCCACCACCCGTGGCCTCCAACCCCCTGCTTGTGCCTAGTCCCCTCTACTCTACCATCAGTGGCCGTGCTTTCAGCCACGACGCTCTGAAATTTTGGACTCCCAAACTCCTCAATCCCTCCACCTTGACTGCTCCTTCCCCTGTTTCAGATCACACCTGAAGACCTTTCTCTTCGATCATGCAGACTGTCACCTCCCCCCCTCCCCCCAGCTTGGCATCAGGTTCTGCCACTGTTAAGCATTTTGCCCTGCATTAATGGCACTATATAAAAACAAGTTGTTGTTGTTGACACAAGCAATACTTAGTTATGGAATTAATTACCATTGCATTTAATCATTGACTAAAATAACTGTACTTTACTTGAGCCAGCTACAGTCATGTGCCACTCCATAACATGTAAACGTCAACGTCTCCAACCAGCTCTAGAATATATCACATCACAACCCAACCTCACCACTACGATAACAAAAACAACTTTCGTTCTTATAGCAACCTTCACGTGGGGTAATGTCTCACAGTGTTTAACAGTGGCAGCCGGGGAGAAGCGGGAGGTGACTGTAAGCACGATTGAAGAGGAAGGTCGGGAGGACATGGCAACGTTGGAAGTTGCTAAACATAGCTTTGTGACTTGCAATTAAAAGCAGATGTCCCATAGCATAGTTAGAGCATTGCCTCAGAAGCAAGAGGACCCGGGTTCAAGTCCCGGGCAGGGCGAAACCGTAGGCAAGTTTTCTTGCCTTGGTTTACCTAGCAGTACGTAGGAACCCTGTTGTTCGTCAATTGGGGATTGCTTTCCAGGGGTAATAATCCCTCCCCCCAAAACATATGGTCACTCAATCCACGACTGTTTGTGGGACACTGCTGTACACAATTGGCTGCCGCGTTTCACCCACAAAATACACAGTCAGTTCACTTTACAGTGTATTCTATGAAGCATTTTCAGACTTCTCAACTACGTGATAAGGCAAGGATTATTATTATTATTGCATAATTGATAATCTTTTGAAGCTTCTTTGACCAAAAATATTTCTTTCTGTTACAGATTTTCTTTAAATTTTAATCCTCAAACCATAATCTTCGGCAGCACAGAATCAAGTGCTGAGACATAACAAAGTATCTCTGACTCCACGAGCTGCAGAGTTTGGGAATTCAATATTTTGAGGGCTGCAGATTTCTTTTTTTTTAAAGATTGCATTTTCTGTTTTTAGACTACACTGAAAATGTAAATGAAAAACCTTTTTTTGTATAGAAACTGAATACTATATGCCCTTTAAAAGGAATGAAACTGCATCCATATAATGCTGAGAAATTCAAGCTGCCCTAACTGGTACTGATCTCTCTGTTAATGCTACTTCATCTCCTCTGCTCAATGCACCCAAAATCAATGGATGAGCTTTGGTAAGATGATTGAAAGCGCAGTTGGCTTTAAAAGTAGGAAAGTAGGGGACCCCAGAAAAGCACTTTGCAACATCCCCCAAAAGTGAAAGATGCTATTTAAATGTAAATTGGATTGTACTGTATTCATTTCATGCAAATTTAAGGTGATTCTTTATCTTAAATGTTCTCCATCCTAAATATCTGAGGCATGACACTTAATAAAGGCAAAGATAAAGAGAGCAGTTCTCTTTTATACAGTGAAATTGTGTAAACCGAGGCATTGTGAACATAGAAGGTGTATTCACTTCACACAAATTATAAGATTCAACTGATAAATTCAAAGAAGGCTCAGTTCAGGAGACCGAGGTATGTGCTTACCTCAATAGTTTTGCAGATCTCTTCCAGTTGAGAAACTATGGCTTGGATTCTGTCATTTCCTGCCACAATCATCGCAATGCCATCACTGAGCTCAGTCTGCAAACAATAGTATCAGATTTATCAGGCCTACGTCCAAGCTATTATAGGCAATCAAGTTACCAGAGCTCCGAAGTTTTCACGGTTTTAACCTTTAGACCATTTTCATAAAAAAAGTAAATTTTTTTCAGAGGAATTTGGGAAATATTCTTAATTTGGAAGCTGTTTTTCCACAGTCCAGACAGTGCAGACTCCGTATTATATATTAATGTTGACACAAGGGACATTTGTTGAACTTGGAACACAGAATAACCAAAATCTTCTAAAACGCAATTATTAAATCAGCAGCACAATACATCTGCGTGAGTTGCTTGTAATTCACTTTAATTATTTCACAATCTTTTCTCACTAAATTTGCTTACAAATATAATCACTAAACTTCACAGTAAAATCCTGTGAAGCTCTTTGAGATATCTCAACAATGTAATAAGATGCTATATCAAATGCAAGGATTATTATAAATTATATTCAAATATTAAGCCATAAAACATATTAAGAAAACCAAATTATTTCCACGTACCTTTTGACGTTTGTAGACGCTTTGAAGAGGTGCCACTTCGCAGTCTTTGTGAGCGCCAAACACTTTGCACATAGAGCAGGTGGGCAGCTCACAGGTTAGACAGTAAATATTAACCTTCTCATCCTCATGCTCTTCACACATTAACTGCTGGTCTGACTTGGTGTGCAGGGGCCTGAAAGAAAAGAATTATATTTAAACAAATGAAATCCAATTTTTTGGGTCAGCCGGGTGTCTGACACATTCAGAAACCCATCACCGTGTTTAAGAGTTTCCAAACCAAACTGAGAGTACCATGCATCCCATCCACACATGGAAATTCCAGAAATAGATTGTCGCAATGAAATGCTCACTCTCTCCCTGGAGAGACGCATCCTGTTTACCTAATTGCGGAAAGTATTAGGTGCAAGGTTGGCAAGAGCCAAGGCTTGGGACGTCAGAGTGTGCGTTGGAGTACTGCTGGAGTCTAACCAGCTAAAACTGAAGAGCTTGCCATTGATATTTCTGTCTGGCAAGATTTCCCACTGCTTGTCCAGCTAGGACCACCCTACCAACCTACCCGCTAGGGCTTTGGCTTGCAGAGCTAACGGGAGCTGAGTGGGAAGAGTCCATGCCCCCAATGACTGGTCTGCCCTTCTAAATCCTGCCAGTGAGCCAGGCTGACTGGGTTGTCATTAGCAGCATCCTGGAGTACTGTGGGTCTGCCAGTTCAGCTCCGAGGAGACCCTGTTTAACTCCCCCCACCCCCAAGAAGGATAGTCATTAGTTTGTCATTTGACATTCAATATATGCGGGTTTAATAATAACAATAATAATAATTTCTGCATTTGATATAGCGCTTTTCACGTCTTCTAGACGTCTCAAAGCACTTCACAGAATAGACTGTAAAGTGAATTGACTATATTTGTGGGCAAAACGTGGCAGCCAATTGCGCACAGCAGTGTCCCACAAACAGTCGTGGATTGAAATGACCAATTTATTATTGTTTTTTTCTTGAGAGATTATTATCAGGCGTGTGGAGTAAGGAAACTTGCCCAAGGTTTGACCCTGCCGGAAATTGAATCCAGGTCTCTCACTTGCAAAGCCAGTGCTCTAACCACTGAGCTACAGGACTCCACACTTTGTGTTTGAGCCCTCACTAGATGGATGGCACATACCAGGAACTCCCTGCGAGCCTCCTGGAGGGCAACACAGGTCAACATAAAATGCATGAGACCATTGCCACCATCTTCCTATTCACAGCTCAGACACACATCCCTTCCCACTGAGCGATAGTTTTACTAGTTGGCGGTGTAGAGGTTGAGCAACAACTGTAATCTGGTTGATGTAGTAATATTGAGGAGCACTACCATCAGAGATTTCAGCAGTCAAGTAACTGAACATAAGTCTAGTAATTTTCTTGAAATTTTAAGTGCACAATAACTCACACACTGAATGCTAACTTTCTACAGCTCAATGTCAACAAGACTGATGCATTCCTCCTTGGTTCCTGTTACAGCCTTCTCACCTAAAGTGCTGTCAGTATCATCCTGCATGGATGCTGGTGTGAAATCTCAGTGTCTTGTCCAACTCTCATCTGTCCTTCACACCTTACACCCAGGCCCTTACTAGCTCAGGGTTCCCTCCACAATCTTTTCCCCATCCTGCCACCACCTCTACTCTCAAACTATTGAAACCCTGATCCATGCCTTTCTCATGTCGAGGTTCAATTACACTAATGCCCTGCTCACTGTATATCCCAGATCCACTCTACACAAGCTGCAGACTATCCAGAACTCTACAGTTCATATCCCCTCCAGCCCATCATCATCATCATCCTCACTTGACTCCCCATCCCCCAAGGGTTCGAGTTCGAAATTCCCATCATTTCATTCAAATCCTGCCAGACTCAGCCTGTGACCTCCTGCAACCCCAGCCCTTCGCTCAGCAAACATCAAACTTGCTTTAAAACTCATTGCTTTAACAATGCTTTCAGCCACCTTTCCCTTTCTCTCCTCAGTGCTCCCAACCCCAGCTCACACTCCTGGTTATTTGTATGAAGTTCTTTGAGAGATCCTTCTGACATGAAAGGTGCTATTTAATGTAAATTGTTATCCTCTTGATCTGTCATCTCAGTGCATCCAAAAGTATTGTTCTGAGTTTACTTTTTTCAATCACACTTAAAATCTTATAAACCTCTATTAGGTTCATCTGATTAAAGAGGTTTAGTGTGTCTAATTGTTTCTTATGGCTCATTCTTCTAACACTGGGGATCCCATGGCCCCATTCAAAAAGAGAAAGGAGTTTCTCCTGGTGTCCTGGCTATCAATCCTCCAGATTGGTCAGTAACCTTATGACTATAGTTGGAATTTTGGTGGGAGAAATGGCTGTTGTTTTTCCCTATAGAAAGAGTCACTACACTTGACAGTAATTATGTGTTAAGTGATTTGGTGATTTCATTTTTGGTGTGTAACCTTGAAGATTGAGTCTAACAGCAATTTGACGTGAAGCCCTTATGCTGTGACAGCAGTCCAATCCACTGAAATAAACAGAAGGTGTTATGTATAGGACGCCTGCAATTATGGATTTACTTTACAGTACATTTATTGCCTTTTATCAGATTGCTTGATACAGCAAAGTTCCAGTGGATATTCCATATTAGGTGTAAGAGGCTAAAAGATGGTTTCAATGGTTTTGTCAATTCAATTGAACTATTCAAACAAAGTCTCAAATGTTATGAGTCGCTCTGTTCCCCTTCGAGATTGATACTCAGCTTCTAAATGCAGGCTGCACAGTTATGTAATATCTTAATCTGGAATTACAACACTGAAACACATGTAATCAGAAGGAAAACAAGCAAGACAATTAGCCCTTTAGACACTGCCAACAAAACAATTCATCCGTGTCCAATTGTCAGCTAAAAAAAGGTTCATGGGTTTATTCTGGTCATGTCAACAATATGATCAGGTCAGGCTACAATTTCCTGAGGCTTAAGTGCCTGAACATAAAAAAAGCCAATTTTCAGTAAGTTATCTAACAATGTTGGTTCCAGTTCTACAAAGGGCAATGGGATCCCAGGGGATCGTGGGTGTAATGGGGGCAATATATAGAATCATAGAATCACAGAAATTTACAGCATAGAAGGAGGCCATTCAGTCCACTGAGCCTGTGCCAGCTCTTTGAAAGCTACCAACTAGTCCCACTCCCCCGCTCTTATCTCAGAGCCTTGCAATTTTTTTCCTTTTTAAGTACCTATCTAAATCCCTTTTGAAATCTATTATTGAATATGTTTCCACCACCTTTTCAGGCAATGCATTCCAGACCGTAATAACTCTCTAGGTAAAAAAAAAACAATTCTCGTCTTCCCTCTGGTTCTTTTGTCAATTATCGTAAATCTGTCCTTGGGTTACCGACTCAACCGCCTGGAGGAAACAGTTTCTCCTTATCTACTTTACAGTATATTCTGTGAAGTACTTTGAGATGTCTTAATGACATGATAAGGCGCTATATCAAATCCAAGGATTATTATTATTATTTTTCAATAGGATTCCTTAATAACATCTTTTGTTGGAATTCCTTTCGCCCTGCAGGAACTCCGCTCTGGAAATGGTTAGGGTTGGTATGTAGTTCTGTGTTAGTGTAAATCACTTCAGGTTACTGGATGGAATCGCTACTGCGTGACTCAGATTCCTTATGAAGGAATCATGTTAAGAAATACCTCAATTTGGAGCTCTGTTTCAATAATATTAAAACTGTCAGGATGAAAAGAAAGGAAATGGGGAAGGTGAGAGGACATGAAAGCAAATAGTGTTACCTTTCCCCTCCCCATTCCCTTGGTTCAATTGTATTGCATTGTAAGTAAGGCAGGGGTGTCCACTTTACACTGAATGTTAAATATAGCAATCATTTTGTTAAGTCTCTCTACTGAAATTCCAGATGGTTATTTTTAGAGATCAGCATATGGTAGACCCCAAGGAGAGCAGACATTTTTAAGACTTAATGCTGTTTAAAATATGAAATAATAATAATCTTTGCATTCGATACAATGGCTTTCACGTTGGACAAATGGAGGGAATGTGTATTTTGCAGAGGAGATTGCGACAGACAAGATGAACACAACAGTGTCCCACAAACAGCCATGAATCAAATGACCATTTTTTTTATTTGGTGGATTGTTGGCCAAGACATCAAGAGAAACTCCCTTCTCTTTTCGAATAATGCCACGTCCACATGAACGGGTCAACAGGTTAATGTCGGCACCTCCAACAATGTAGGACACACCCCAACACTGCATTGGAGTGTCAGCCTAGACTAGAGAGTTCAAAATCCTGACACCTCACCATGCGGGGAAGGGAAGGGCCTGTGAAAGGGTTAGTTTTTCCCCCACCCCCTTAAAATATTCATGGGGGAAAGGAGCGTTGATAAGCAAAATTGCTCACATTTTAGAGCATCTCATCACTTTGAAATGTTTCAAAGCGTTTTGTAATTACTATCAAGTGTGGTGACTGGTTTATGCCACCATTTATGCCAACAATTGATCTGGAGGGTTTGAACCAGAACAAGCAGCTGCGAGATGATCGGAATCTCACATGTGCTGTCACAAAGACAACAACAACAACAACAACAAATTACATTTGTGTAATATCTTTCCCAAGGCGCTGGACAGTCAGGGATTTGGACCTGATTTGGACCCAAGCAGGGTTTGGGATTAAGGTGGAGTGTAGGTGTAGATGAGTACGGTCGAAGAGGAGGATCTTGAGGCAGGCCTTGAAGTAGGCTAGGGAGGGAGTGAAGCAAAGGGAATATGGGATGAAGTTCCAAATGGTGAGGGCAGAAAGACTGAAGGCCCAACCTCCGATGGTGGAATGGGATGGGCGGGGGACATGGAGCAGGCCACAGCCTGCTGAGTGGAGAAGTCGATATGGAGTTAGCAGGTCACAGAGGTAGGGGGCAAGGCCATGGAGAGGTTTGAAGGCGAGGACAAGGATTCTGAACTCTACCTTCTGGGGGATGGGGAGCCAGTGGAGCCGGGCAGGAGTGGGGGTGATAGGGTCACGGTGCCTGGTGTGGTTCACAACCCTTTCCCGGTCAATACACAGGATGGGCTGCAGCAATTTGTATCAGCTCATTTAGATGGAGAAGTGGGCCATCTCCCCTTCAGAGCAGAATGGTGCCTCTTCCCTTATCTCATCTCTCCTCGTGTTCCCTGAGTGAAGACAGGTGTAAGAAGTCACCTCAGTTCCAGCAACTCATTTTACTATTAAATCTTTCTAACCCGAAAGAGTGTGGTGTGATAATCAAATCGCCAATCAAATAGAGAAGTGTGAATTCCATGGAGGATAAAAAAAAGAAAAAAAATAGAAGAAAAAAGATGATCAAGGCAATAAAACAACATGTTTTGCTGTTGTGAGCTCCCATTCAGTAATCACATGAACTTGCTTCCCCTCAGCTGTCTCTATAAATAAATGGTGGCGTAACCTGGATGATTCCTGTTTGTAGATGTCGATGATATTTTCCACCAGGAGGTTTCTCTGAAGGCCATAAACTCCATGGCGATCCAGGACGACTTCATGTCGGCAGGAAGGACAACGAAAGCGACCACCTGAAGGCACAGTGGTGGAGCCTCTGGTCTGCCAGAATGGGTTGGAAGCCTAGAAATGATAAATGTGGGAGACAGAAAGTGAGGGAGGGAAAAGGAGGGGGAGAGAGAGAGACGGAGGGAAGAGTGGCGGGGAGGGGGCTGTGAATTTTATTTTACAAACTTTATTTTACAATAATTATTAATTTCCTCCTACAAACTTCCTCTTTTGAAATAATAATTGTCCTTGCATTTGATATAGCGCCTTATCACATCGGTGAGACGTTTCAAAGTGCTTCACAGAATTTACTGTGGAGTACATTTTGCGGGCGAAATATATCCTGATAAGTAGCCCTTTACACTCTTCCTCTTTTAGTTACCTTTCCCCCTGCTCACAAATTTCATCACCAGACTTGCTCTTTGATTTAGATGACAAATGTGTTTTTAAAGATTGCCTTTTCAGTCCTTCTTCTATTGTCTGTTTTTGAGGATCCATTAAATGTGATCCTCTTCCTTTAATGTCCCTCATCTTTCCTCTACCTTTGCTCCTCATCTCTCATCCACCGTTCCTCCCCTCGAAATAAACAATCCTTTTAGCTACTGAAAACTTGGGGGGGAAACTAAACAAAGTAAAAACGTTTTCTGTGAAGAGTCCTTTACGTGTACATAAAGAGTTCATGATTTTTTTCCACATAGAATGACATTGAAACTACAGCACAGGAACAGGCCATTTATCTCAAATTGTCTTTGGGGTATTTATACTCAAGCCTTTACCCATCCTAATCCCCCCTTCCCCAGCTTCCCTCCCCCCATACTCCTCTATTCCCTTCTCTCTCATGTATTCAAATTATAGCTTTTGTATTCAGTTTGATTCAAATCATTAACAATGAAGGCCTGAACACAGAACCCAGACACCCTAATGTCACGTCTCAGCACTGTTAAAGCTGAGTAAGAACTGAGAGACCTACCTGAAAAATGTCATTCGCACATTTTCTGCAGAGGTTATGCTGACAGGGTAAGATTACAACGGTTTTGTGAACATTTCCAGACAAATGGGACAAATGAGCTGTTTCTCCAAACTGTCCATTGTTTGAGCGTCTCCAAGCAACGGTTTGAAACCTACGGCCAGGTTCATCCCCAAAAGCAAGAGGGTCACTCAATCAGCTATGTAATAATTCAACTTTTTCTCCCTTCTTTCTGTTGAGAACTCTTGTTTTGCTATCGTTCTGCTCCCAGCTGAAACTGCAAGTATGGGTGAACAGTTAATTTTAGTGCGTCTCTGAGGGGTGATCACATTTCTTTTCTTTTAAGCAGCACGTCACATGGGTTAGCAGTTGTGGGCCTTGCATTCCACACTCCATATTTATCTCATGAAATGTGAGACAGTGATGTGGAAAAGCCATTTGTTGGGCAGCTCTTCTCCCTTGTCAAGTGACATTTAGTCATGTCCTGAGACACACAGATCGCATTCAGATTGGGTGGTAAATTGCTTAAAATATCGTGCTTCGCGATAGCTTTCTTTAATGAGAGTGACTGTTAGTTCAAAAAAAATGAAATTAAAGTCATGAAATGACTGGTGCCTATCTAACACATCATGAACGACTTTAAATAAACATGAATAGCTTTCCTGTCGTCACGCAGCTTACTGGCTTCTGCATTGCAATACTTTTGCTCTAAATTCTTAAGTGACTGCTCACAAACTTACATGACAAATATTGCTCTGTGTATATATAAAACAAGATTCATCAGAGACTGAAAATTCACCCACAAAATACAGTCAATCCACTTTACAGTATATCCTGTGAAGCGCTCTGAGGCGTCTCAATGAAGTGATATCAAATGCAAGGATTATTATTATGACAAAAGGCTCAAATCACCCAATGAGGAATTATCTATCTACAGTTCTTATACAGAAAATATTATAAAAACCTTGAGAATTGTTTTCTTCTTCTTCCCCCATTGAATTATTAATAATGAAGCATTCTTCCCCATCTTCAGGTCGCCCCCGAAGACCTTCATTTTCGACTGAACCTACGGTCACCTCCCCCTCCCCCCGGCTCAGTGTCATGCTCCGCTACTGTCAAGCGCTCTGGGACGCTACCCTAAATATATTTATTTTGAAATAAATATTGCTATTAATTAACTGTGGAACTATATAACATGTTTGCAGGTACTTTACAGAGGCTAGGAGTGCTGTTGAAATGAGTACTTTGGTAGCAAAGCCTGCATTATGCAGACATTTTATGAATTATTCCCTTGAGTGTAAGCATTCTTTTAAAGCTAATGTTGAGTGGAGATATCACAAAAAGTCAGGAGATTCTTCACATGGGTTTTTAACAATGAAGACCCCGGGCGTGTTTCAGATCCTGGCAAATTGGCTCAGGCATTCAGAACATGTTAACTCACTGAAGCATGAACTATGAAATAAGGTAGCCATCTGGCCCAAATATGAAATGCTGCGTTATGTTTGAGGGGTTAGTCAAGAAAGTATGTAATAGTTATCTGATACCAGTAGTGGAAAAATCAAATGCCAGTGTTTTATTCAATGCGATCAATATCATTTCAGAGGATAAAAGTCAAAAGGATATATGAATCCACAGGAATTCCCAGAGGAAGTAGCACTTGGAATTACAGAAACTCTGAGGTTTTGCATCAGAGCTTTTAAAGACAGTGGCCTATGAAGATTCTCTTGCCAGTAAGCTGTCAGTATGTAGTAAATGGGGCAAGTTAGTCAAGGGAGCAGAAATAGTGGAGCTCCACGGGACTGCATTTCAGGCCCTCTACTGTTCACCATCAAGCACGACTACAAGACATTCCTCGCTCCCATCAGCAGTAAATACACAAAATAGATCCCATCTTTATTACCTAATCATCTTATTACTGCAGCTATTTTTGTCAAAATTACGTTAAACAGTAATATAAATGTGGGCCAAGTTCTGCTGAGACCATGCAAATGTCATTTATGGAGCATAATAAATGCTCAATTTTGCTGAGTTTACTTGTGGCTATTCATTTTGCACAGATTTAAAAATATTGGGAACAAGTAACAAAATGCAAATTATGCGCAGGAGCAGGATTCGAAGGATTGAGTAGCCCTTCATTTCAAATTGTGCGACATTGCTGAGCCAAATTGGTTGCCACATTCACAAATGCAGTCACTACACTTTACAGCAAAACCTTGTGAAATAGTTTTGACATGATACAACACTACATCGATTGCAAAGATTATTGGTTTCTTAAATGGTGGTCTTCAAAATGGAAAGTTGCCTAGATAATCTGACACATTCTACTTTAAACTTTCATAAATTGTGCTCAGATTAACTTTGTGCAGTGAGCAAAGACGACACAATTAAGACTTGGCAAGAAATGTACCTCAATGGATGGTTTCAGTGTCTTTCAGATGAGATATGAAGCCAGGACTTACACTTCCGAAGTCAGGCTGGTGACTTTGTTTAACGTTTAATGCAGATTTTTAATATCATTCTCCCAATGTTAGAGAGAACTGAAGGAATTGACGCGCACCAGCAGATGGCGACAGATCTGCTTTTCCAGATTGAATTCGATCTGCACAACACATAACATCAGTGTCACCCCAGAGGATCTTGTGAAATGTCCCGTCACACATTGGGAACAACTTATTAAAGCTTTTTTGCTTGATTATAAGTCATTCAAAAAAGGCACATGAAGAAAGATGACTTTTGATTTTAGATACAAATTTAAATGCTTTATTGGGTTATGAAGCATTGCAGATTGCATAAAGATTCCATAATATATGGAAATACGAAACAAAAATGGTGCGTTTAATGTGTTAGCAGGAAATGGGAAGAGTTGGGCCAGTGACAGCTATCCAGTTGAGGGCCACAATTTATAATTAGAATATATAATCAATTGCCGGTCTGTTCTAGGCTACTCTTTCAGTAAAATATTGAAGATCAGCTGAAAGCTATCCTTTCCATGTAAGAAAGTGTTTTCATTTTCGAAATCTGAACTTCAAATGTACTGAACTGTTTTACTACATTCAGCTACCAAGGTTATGAAATTGATATGCTTCCAAGTGTTCAATATTTTAAAAGCCCAATCATTCACGTAAATAAACAAACATTGCCCAATATCTTATGAACCACATTTATTGGCAATTCTTTTGTGAAACAAAGTCTGTACAAAATATAATTATAATCTGATCATATTAGTCCATTTACAGAAGAGCTCCAGTCTACTTGAGACTTTGTCACTTATTGCCCTATAAATCAAACTAGTAAATTATCATCACCCGTTTGTGTAACAATGTCAAAGTATTAATGAATATTCCAAGCTGCTGAAATATGAAACAGTTCACAAGCATTTCTTGACAGTTTACTGTACAACATTGGTAGACTCATTGCAAGAGTTAAGTATAAAATAAATTCTTTGCTGGATTAGATTCTCAGGCAAGACAAAAAATGTAGAGATATCATCCCTTTCCTGACTTGTACAGAGTATTATGAATGTCAAGACACATCGGAATCAAAGTTGCAATGCTATAATTAGCAGTGTAATCTAAGACACTGTAAGATTTTAATTTTTCTACACAATTTGTAGAAATAACTTACAAGCCTACAGAAATCAGGTTTTGGCATATTTCTATATTTGTATGGTTTAAAAGAGGTGTCAAATGGACATTTGGTGAGGTACTGTCCTAAACCATGGAGAAACAATTTGGAATAAGCAACAAATAATGCTCCCTGCTCCTTTTGTTCCATGCGGTATAATGGCCTATAATTAACTATGATTTCTGGAAGTCTGACACATCTCTCTTCTGGGGGAAACAATTCCGCTTATTTATAATCTCACCCGAGGCTTGTGAATTTTATATATGTTTCCTAATTGTATACTCGGTGTGCAAGCTAAATAACCAGTTTATCTATAACTTGTATTATAAACAGGATCAGTTCTCCCCTCCCATCAGCCTTTTCTGGAGTAAAAAGTGCAGTCGTCCAAGTCTTTTTCACCGATTTAATGCCTGAAATCATAAAAAGACATTTTCACCATAGAAAGGGCTGGTGACATCCGTGCCACTGGTATTTGTTTTCCCAAGTCACTATTTTTTTAAAAGGATTGAAGCCAATTTCTAGCTCTTTCACTTAACGTTTTTCCTGCTCTGGTATTATCCAATGTCCTGTGAATGATTATATTGTTTCAGCCTCAATAGCCAGGTGCGGTAATGAATACTGTCAAACAACCTCTGTGAGTAAAAACATTTCTTCTAATTTCTTCCTTAATGTTTCTGGTAACAGTCCTAAAGCTATACCCAATTGTGAGATTTGCCAACTAATGGAAGAGTTTCCCCATTTTCTTTGTCATAGGATGGCCGACACATCAGAAGTACCCTCAATTAGTTGGTACACTTAGTTGAATATTATTACTCTTCGCTGAACCTTCTCCACTACATTTATGTAGGAGGTAGAGTGATCAATACTGCAGCCATACTCCAGTATTGGCAGAATCAATGAACTATATGTTGGACTGGGTTGTTCTGATTTGTAATCTCATGCTCTTCAATTGCACCGCATTACCGATTAATATTGACAACTGCTTCAGTGGTTACAAACTTCACCAGGCTTTTCCATCTCTGCTAATGGATTTGTTTATATGGTACAAATTAATAATAATAATAATCCTTGCATTTGATATAGTGCTTTTCACGTCTTCTCGACGTTTCAAAGCGCTTCACAGAATAGACTGTAAAGTGAATTGACCGTATATTTGTGGGCAAAACGCGGCAGCCAATTGCACACAGCAGTGTCCCACAAAGGAGTTATGGACTGAAAATGACCAATTTATTATTTTTTATTTTTTGGAGGGATTATTATTAGGCGTGTGGAGTAAGGAAACTTGCCCAAGGTTTCGTCCTGCTTGGAATTGAACCAAGCTGTCTCACTTGCAAGATGAGTGCTCTAACCACTGAGCTGCAGGACTCCACAAAGGACTATATTAAACTACAGGACACTATTAAACTATAGTTTCTGGTTGCTTTATGTATTATCTTAGATTTATCCACATTAAAATCTTCTTCCGTTTCTCAACTCATCTGTTTTTAGTCAAAGTCTCTCTGAATAAACTATTTTAAAGAGCGCACTGTAAAGATTGACCCCCCATAATTAGTCACATCACTGAAGACAATCTAAGGCAACAACATGGAGACAAGAAACACAAACCTATTTACAGTAACATGGCACCTGTTCTTACAAATAAGAAATGAACTATAAAATGCATAGCATTACATTTGTAAGTCAAAGCAGTTAATTTAGATTAAATTGAATGAAACTCCCATCAGGTATGTAAACTGTACGCACAAGATATGCAATATATACTTTTTTGTACTGAAGAATGTCATTAATGTATGAGGTATGGCCCACTAGTTAGTACCATACACTGAATGGTTCTTTGATTGCAAAGGAAAATATACGTGCAGCCTAAGAATCCAAAAGATTTCTACATTTACTAACTAGTTCAAATCATTTCAGATGACGACATTCTTTTCCTACTGCCACTGGAATGAAACTGTTATTGTCAAAGTTAATTTGCAGATGTTACAATCCTGTCCTTATTTCCCAAAACAAGAGATTTACACCAGATGGATTGGTTTCAGATCTCAAAGGCTCCCCCTACAATCTTATGGATAGAGAACCTAGTGTTCAAACAATCAAAAAATGTTAGGTATTATACACAAAAGCCAACACCACTGCACACATGCTTACATTAGTGCAAAATGTCCAATAGTTTATGAACTAACACTTGGAGCTCTTGGGTTAAATTTTACTATCCTAAAAAGTTTTTTTTACCCCCACTTTATAGAGCACACAGGCAAATCATAACCATTTTTGTAGTGTCGTTCAAGCTAATCTCTAAACAATTGGCTACTAACAATACCATAGTGAAAGTTAGCATAGACATAAATCATACAGAGGAAATTTACCATGTATGTTCAGCTAACTAAGTTTAATTTTGGTCTAGGACAAAGAATAAAAGAGAGCATGAAATAAATTTATATTGCAGGTGACCCTCAGAAGCTACTCTTACTCCCATGTGAATTCTGTCTGCAACAGATAAGCTTGTTAAAAAGGATAGTTCCACACAAGTCTATCAAGATCAAATTACAAAAAAGCCCTAAAATTACTATTTAAATCATTTACTTATGATAATTAGTTATGATTTCTAATGCAGATGTTGGAGGGAATGGGAGAGGAAATCGCTAAGAAATTAACCAAGTAGAAAAACAGCTGGAGTAGCATAGACATGATGGGCCAAATGGCCCTAAAATCCAGAAAGTGTCATTAAATGGCTACATTTAATAGCAGGCTATCTGTTCCAGTGAAGCTTGGGTTGTGTCAATTTAATGGATGAAATGGAGTTTTAAAAATATCTACTGTATGAAAATGAACGTGATTGCAAAAATGTAATAGGAACAAAATCACAATTTCTTAAATGGTTGGTATACAGACTAATAGATGTGCAGCCTACAATGGCTATGTGGCCTCAATGAAATGTGGATTTTGAATCTCCTTCCTCTAAAACATGAACTTTTGAAGTAAAAATTCTCAATTTGTGCAAAATCATTTATACAGAAATCTTTCGTAGTAATGGCTGCCATTCAATGCATTAGTCCATGCAAAACTTTTATTAGTATGTTCATGAAAAGCAGGCTATATACAGATGGAAGCTTGAACAGTACAAAATGTTAATCAATGTTTTCATACCTTTTTGGCTCTGCTTCATTTTACAATGGTATAAATGGAATGTGTTAGCGTCCAGAGGGACTTGGGTGTCCTTGTACACCAATCACAGAAAGTTAGTCTGCAGGTGCAGCAGCAATTAGGAAGGCGAACGGTATGTTAGCATTCATTATGAAAGGATTAGAGTATAAGAGTAGGGAAGTCTTGCTGCAACTGTATAGGGCCCTGGTGGGACCACACCTGGAATACTGTGTGCAGTTTTGGTCTCATATTTAAGGAAGGACGTACTTGCCTTGGAGGGGGTGCAGCGTAGATTTACTAGGTTAGTACCAGGGATGAAGGAGATGAGTTACGAGGATAGGCTGACCAATTTGGGCCGATATTCTCTAGAATATAGAAGAATTAGAGGGGATCTTATAGAAACCTATAAGATCATCAAAGGACATGATAGAGTAGATAGTGGGAGATTGTTTCCCCTGGTTGGAGAAACAGGGGTCACAACCTTAAAATCAGAGGCCAGCCCTTTCACACTGAGTTGAGGAAGAACTTCTTCACTCAAAGGGTGGTGAATGTATGGAACTCACTACCCGAAAGAGCTGTTGATGCTCAGTCCTTGAACATATTCAAGACTGAGATAGATAGATTTCTTATTGCAAAAGGGATTGAGGGATATGGGGATAAGGCAGGGTCAGGTTATTAGCTGGAGTTAGTCAGCCATGATTGAATGGTAGGGCAGGCTCGAAGGGCTGAATGGCCTACTCCTGCTCCTACATGTTATGTTATGTACAAAACCCTGATCGGCAATGCTGTAAGTTCTGTCTGCACAGACTGCATTTTTAAAATTAAACAGAAAGCTACTGAACAAGTTAGATTTAACTTCAAAGCATGTAATTGTAAAGTGAAAATTAAATTCAGCAATCAAGGAATGTCCATCCAGTAATGTTTGTACTCTCCACAATAGCCACCTTTCGTTGCAAACAGGTTAAATAAACTGTGTTTAACTAGAATTTGATCCTCTTTTAAAAAAAAGTACACATGCAAAGATGAACTAACCTTTGTGAAATATGTTGCTCATGCAAGTCACTCATATATAAAAAAAATTCAGTCAGAAACAACCAAATCTGAATGGCATGTATTCTCTGAAAGTGATTTTACATGAGCAACTATTTCAAACAATGCGAGTTTATCTATGCCATTTCTATGTTATATAGAACATGTACTAACCGCCTTCTAAACCAAAATCTAGCAATGGTACCTCACAGCATGAAGAAACACACCTTGAGCAATTCAATACCTTATTGAAGATCTTTAAAATGGATAAGTAGCTTTTGTAGACTAGGAACCTCATCATTGAATTAACTCTTGCCCCTTTCCCCATTTAGGTAAAGTAGCACATTAATGTGCCTGCGCAACTAAAACAATTCTAAAACTATAAATACACAAACTTTTACTCATTGGAAAAAAACAAGAGTTTTTGATGTGCAGTGACACTAATGTCATAGTGAAGTGCAGTTGATTCTGGTTTCAGACATTATAAGTAATCAAAGATCAGAGTTGAGTAAGTGACTGAGGAAGCTGAAGTTCTGTTCAATTCTGCTGTTTGGTGCACGTACAAGGATGGTACATTTATCTAGACAAGTAAATGACAGACTTTTAACAGAAAACACATAAATGCATAGTTAGCCGTAAATGTGTGACAAATTCAAACAGCTTCATTGGAAAAAAACAGCACTAAAGCTGGAGGACATGATAGAAAAATAGGAAACACTGGCCAAAAGGTGCCATTTCTATTGTTTATCAATAGTGTGACAATCATGTGGCAAATACACATATAGTAAAAATGACAAGCAGGAATTTAAAGGTAACCAAATCTAAAAGTGGTCATTATATTGGTACAGCTTTACACATTTTATGCAACTCACAGGTTAATTGGTCCCCAAGGCTGTGTTAAGTGGCAACTCCTGCAGGTTACTGGCTCTGCTGGAGCACATTGTCTTCTTGCAGGATGAGTGTTCTTCTGATTACACACTCAAGGTCATGGCAAATGTTTAATAGAGAATAAGTAAACAAAACGTAAGTTGTGCTTCCCTGCTGGGACCACATTCCTCGGTTTCTAGATTTGAATAGGAACTTGGAAATGCATGCTGCCTTACAAGTAATGTACTTGAGTTGGATTCATCCATTGGTCTGATTTCTATCACCTTCAGTATGGTACCTGAAGTTTTGAAAAGCCAATGATCTGGTTATTCCATATTGGGAATGAACTTATTTGGTACAATATAGTGCAGCTTTGAGGACCTTCAATTTTTCTGCTTTTATTTACCACAAATGATGCTGTACCATCAGTTGTAAACATGTAATTCATAAACACCAAACTATGAAAACTTTGATAACAAAATTGCTATATACACAATCTTAAATGAATATCTTAAAGATTAGTAATAAGTATAGTACAGCATCAATGAACATAGGGTAGTCTTGTTCCTGTATTTACAATTACATAGACTAATAAAAAATAGTGGCCAATTCCAGGCCATTTCTCAATGATTTTTTTGTGTTCGATTAAATATACTTCCAAGATTCCTGAAGAACAATTTTAGTTAGCATATCCAATTTAGTTACATTCATTGATCTACAGCTACAGTGTATCTAACAAAGAAACCCACAATTAATAAGACTCAACTTTGTACAGATTGCCTTTTTTAATCAAATGGACTGCAAAGCATCACTGCACACCAATTAACAGGATTTTGTTGGGTTAATTAGATAAAAGTATCATTTGAAATCAAAAGGGAGAGCAATGTCCCTGAAGAATTTATTTCGGAGGCAGCCCAGAAGTAGCCCTTTACTCCATCTGAGAGAATACAGTCTTGATTTTAAGACTCAATATAGCCATCATTGCACATCATATAAGTGAAGTAGATTCCGACTTTGTTCAGTTTCTAGTTAATCTGTAAAGTCCAATATTATTTTCATGCTATACTAACTATCGACTAAGAGTACACAATTTGGTAGAAAATGTTAAAGTCTGAGCACATGGTGACTGTCACAAAAAAAGCATCAAATCCTGCCACACTACAAAAGTTAGCAATAAATGTATTCCTGAATTTCCTTTGCTCAGATGCCACAATCCTTGGCAAAAATCATGTTCATCATTTGTCTGGGGCAAATGAATGCAATGGTGTCAGATATTAAAAGCAAATTACACAAATCCTATAAATTTGGCTTCTTTTCAATTCATTCTGGGAAAAAAAAACTTGTCGATTTTTTAAAATTTATCTTATTTGGAATTGTAATGGTAAACAGTTAACAGAAAGTCAGCAAACATTTGTCATGGCTGATTCATTACTCTTTGTCAGAAAAGAAAAAAGAATCCCAGTGTTTCCTAATCCAATTTAGTTAGGAAATTGAATGAGGAAAGGAAAAAAATAGAAGTATTATAATAGCAATTTTTGTAAACCGTTATTTAAATATAGCAACAAATTAAAGTTAACTGCACTGGACTTGCAACAAATATGGTACATGTTTGAATCTCAAGAATTGGTTAATCATTGAACTTGTGCTGTTATGATCCATTTTATATTTTTAAGAGCTGTTAAGTGTCAATTTTACAATACACTGTAGCTGCAACTCAACAAAAACCAAATATAGCTGGCCCATCAGTCTAAATTATAAAGATTAGAGTATACCCACAGTTACTTAAATGTACTTGCGCAGTCAATTAAATGAATAACCTATTTTGGCACAAAAATTACATCACTAATAAAAGTGCAGTACTGTATAAGGAACATTCAAGTAACAGCAACTTTTGGAAACTAGGTGCTGGTCATCAAGCAAGATATTGCTCAATTAATAAAAGGATCTATGTAGTTCTAAAAGTTATTTCAAAACTGTCCAAATGTCAAAAATGGTACTGCATATTTCTACTCGACAACCAATTTAAACTCCTCTTTATATTAAATCATTTTAAGTACTGTGGGTTCTTTATATCAAAAATTCAAGTCAAATGAATTGGAAAGCTTTATGATTTTTCTTCCAGCCTGCAGCAGTCTTTAAAAGACAGACACCGCCACCATTTCAAGCATGATACAGAACAGGGATTGTTTTGGTGGTAAACATAGCAAAATGTGTACTCCAGGCTAAAAATACATACAATTTCAATTAGCAGCATTTCATTAACAGCTAGTGTACTGAACAGAAAGACTAAAATCAGTGCAAACTGAAAATACTTAGCGTTTTTAATCACTTATAAATTTCTGGCATTTGTTTCAGTGGAATGCACTATAAATGTACAACAATCTCAGCCTGATACAGACTTTTGATATAGCTGCACTTTTAAAATCCTGCTATAAGAAATCTGCAGGACTTTAAAAAGAAGCCAAGTGAACCACTTATTTAAAATAGGTTAGATACCACAAGACTGTCTTGGTTCTTCTGTGTTTCGGATACATGCGCACAAGTGCAAGACTGTACAGTACATTACAAAACACATTCACAATTTTGTTGGATGAAATCTCCTCAGAAAAATTGGCATAATCTGCAAGTTAACATATGCATTAAATTAAAATGATTGTTCAGAACCCTGGTCAAATGTGCTCAATTGAAATAAATGTTCAGAACCCTGGTTGCGTTTTTTTACCCATCACTATTGTAGCCAGGTTTTTGGTTTTAAGATTGCTGGGTTTATCCTGTTACTGCACCTCCCGACTGTGGTTGAAGGATGATGGTGGTTTGCATACCTAGAGAGAAAAACAGACAAGGGTTGTGATATTCAGTAATGTAACCCGAGAACACAGCTAACACAAACAGTTTGATTTGGAGCACAGTAGACTTGTATCAACTGAAGAAAAAACATCCTGAAGCCTTGAAAAAAAGTTTCACAAGTGAAGAAATGTCACCTGAGTAAGGTTCCGGAGAGCTGTGAGCACTCATGAAACAATACACAGGAATGGTGGTGGTGGAGGAAGAGAAGGGAAAACAATACTTTAAATATATATATTTAATGTTACTGATTATTTGATAATCACAAAGCAAGTATAAAGTGTGGCCTTCAGGAACGTGTAAGCAATATTTCAAATCAGATCCTCAAGAGTACTGACACCATTTTGATGAATGAATGCAGACAGACAATTGTATGTTCTAAGCAAGCATTTTGTACACAAAAACTGTTAAAACATGGTAAAATACTGCATGAGCATTACCTGGATTGATCACAAGACATTGTTACCTTAACAATCTAATTAGTAGAGCGAGATGACTGACAAACGTAAAGCTGAATAAGTGTTAAGTGTTATGCAGCATTCACATATCAAGCTTGCATGCTCACAAAGACAAGAGGTTTAAAAACCTCAAATTCTCTGCTTACGAGTAGTTATGCCTGCTGAGTTTCATTTGCAGTTTCAGGGGCTGAACTAGGCACTGGCTGGACAATAATAACTGCTTCACCTGGTGAATGAAAAAGGAACAAAAACACCTCAGAAAAAATATCTCAGCTCTTCAATATTTTGAACTGTCTTTAGGAACATGTAAAAATACACTGTTTAGGTTTGTACTGCTGTTCCCAGTAAATCACTTGTATATTTGGAGGCAGGCTGTATACAGAACAAACATTTAGGAGTCCAGGTACACTTTGCATACTTTCAACAAACTTTAGTATACACATACACTTAATAGTACATAAAACTCTATAGGTATTTCACTTGTAATTCAAAAGTATGAATAGCGCAAAATAAAGTATTTAAACACGTCTCAATGCACTGTGTGTTTTTTTTCAAAGTTAGTCACTGTCCATCTAAACATCTAAAAAACAATTGGTCATCCACGGCTGCTTATGGGACACTGCTGTGCGCAATCAATTAAATTGTAGTCATCCAAACAGAGGAATCAAAAGACAATACATTGGTATTCATGCCTTCTGTGTTTTGCCCACAAAATGTAGTCAACTCACGCTACAGTATATTCTGTGAAGCACTTTGAGACATCACGAAGACTTAATAGGGCACTATATCAAATGCAAGGATTATTACTATTATATTATATCAACTAACATCTGATGTGAAATATCTGATAGCTCAAACATTTTCTCTCACATCTCAAAGACACATGCGAGACCTAAAATGCATTTGAATTTTTTTCTGAACAATTTTAATTTTTAGGCTAACCTCACAAGCCATCTGACTCAAAATAACAGTAAGAGACACAAGGTTGATATTATGCATAATACCCACTTTATGTAAGAGTAAAACCAGAAAAGGACAGAACCATGGAGCAGCAGGAGAGGTCATGGAGAAGGATGGATCGGAAATTGATGGGTGTCAAAAGCAGCAGAGAGGTCAAGGAGACAAAGAGAGCCCATTAGTGACTTTAACCAGGGCAGTCTCAGTGCTGTGGTTGGGAAAGATACCAACTCGGAAGGTCTCAAAAAGGGAGTATAAGAAAAGGAAGGAGTGAGGCTGGGAGGGACAACTTGTTTCAGCACCTTGATGAGGAAGGGATGGTTAGTATGTGGGAAACAGGGCTTTGGTTTGGAGGGTTAACTGGAGTCAGGCGGGAAAAATCGCTGACCCCAGTGAAAATAAAATTGGTCATTTTCTTTATGGTGTTTGTGAGACATTTTGACATGTAAAAATTGGCTGCTGTGCTAGCCTATATAATGCAGGATCATTATGGTATATTCTATGAAGCTCTTTAAGATGTGTTCCCACCTTGAATGCTGCATCAAATGTAAATATAACGATTTTTATTATATCCTGGAAGATTGAAGAGTAATTTTGTGACGTGATCTTGTGCAGAAATACACAAGATCCTTTAGTATGCATTGTAGATGATATAACATGCAAGTAAATTGGAAGGTAAGCCTTTGCTGTTGATGCACACTACCACTTTGATGATTTGCACCCTGATTTTAAAGTGAGATAGTTGATCCCAGACAGCAAACTTAGATAAAGTGGCCATATTTTGCCAACTTCAGTAGTTTCATCTCTCGAAAGGGGAGGGTAAGCAGGGTCTCCTTCTGAGCTTAGCTGGCACCAAGATGATTTACTTGGTAACAGATTTTTTCAGAATCCAGTCAACCCTCAGATTCCTGAGCCAGACCATCCGTAGTAAACCAGAGCACGACAATAACAGCCAGCCCGTGTGGATTGTTGGCAGGACTCGAAGGGGCAGCCCAGTCACCAGGGGCAGGGATTCTTCCCGCCTAACTCCAACTAACCCTGCAAGTCAAAGCCCTAACAGACAGAGTGGTCCTCACTGGTCATGCAGCAGGAAGCTTGCCAGGGAATGCTCTGAACAGCAAGTTATAAGGCTTTAGCTGGCTGAACTCTAGCAGTACTCCAATGCACACTTCGGGGTCCCCAAACTTTGGCTCTTGCCAACCCGTGACTAATGCTCATCGAAGTTAGGTTAGCAGAGTGTGTCCAGAGAATGCATTCCATCCCAGACATAGGGAACTTTCCTTGTGTCAATAGCATACATGTGTGGCAATCTGTCTCGCTTGGATACTCAAGTATAGGTTTCCACCCATGTCAAAACACCTAGCTGAACAAAGAAATTATCTGGAGAATCATCTCCTTTGATAATACTTCTCTGTTAGTACTAAGTGTGACTCTGTGGCCTTGTTATGTATTCTGATGGATTCTTCTGCAACTCCTCCACTGCCTCAGAAGAGTTGAACAGTCATGACAGAAGCAAATACGAAAATACCCACTCCTTCGGCTTGGCAAAGTATTTTTAAATTGAGTGCTATTTGGTGATCAAGTTGCAGCTAATTAATAAACTGCAAACAGATATGGCTGTGCTGCTAGCATACAGAATGAGAAGCACAGCTCATGCTGTGGTGTGCAGAACTGGGGGTGGAAAGAGAAGGGTAAAGGATTTGTTTCTAGCAACTGATTCAGTTCTGCAGACACCTTCACAAAAGGTCAAATGAGAGACGGATGAGTGGAGTCATGGACAGCTACACACCGAGTCCAATAATTTTGCAGACAGATTGCAGATTTGAAACGATTTTATTCTGTGCTCACTCCTGGTCTTCCCCTGAAAGGAAGAAACACTGGGCATTGAGCCTAAATTGGCCTGCAGCTCAGATCAGCTGAGGGTGTTTTCAGATTCTGCCACTTTTTCACAGAGTGAATGAAGAGGAGTGAATGGAGATGAGGAAGACATGATTCCATAGCCATCACTGATCACTGTTCCCAATGCCTTATATTATTGTGAGCATAGGAGTAACCTGGTCAGTTGGTAGGACTCTCGCCTTCAGGTCAGAAGGTTGTGTGAATATGAGCTAGAACAGGATGGTCCTCTGATCAAAAAGATAAGAGCAAGAAGTGCTAGAACTACATAGGTATTTAGTCCAATTGAAAACAACGCCAGATGCAGCATTTCCTGCATCTCAAAAAAACATGAACTTTATTATTTAAAAAGTGGTAAATATTGCTCCTTCCTCTTCTTTTTATTGCGCATGTGCAAGAGGACACCTGGTGGCTATTGTCCAGTTAGACATCCTAGAACTAGAGGCTAAATGAGCCATAAGATAGCTCAGCATTTTATCCCAGACCTAAAGGGCTTCTACAGAGCAGGACTGTCAAGGTTTTCAAAGGAGCAAAGTCGTGTACAAGTGGAATCTCTGTCAAATCTTTGCTTCAAATTCAAGGTTGATATATCTCACTTGAAATGCGTGAAGGATATTCTTTAAAAAACAGGGCCACTTTACAGCAATTCAGATATTGATGAGCCTTATGAAAGTTTGGACAAGTAATGCTTAACAAGTTACACGATCTGAAAAAAGCAGCAGATAGTAGGGTGAAAGACCTGGCGACAGGACCAGCCATATTTAAACCATCCTGTTGACGGGCAGCCAATTAGCAGGTGATCGATTTTATTGTTACCATTTGTTGCACATCTCTTAAGATTCTGCCTTGGACACCATTCCCATTTCACTCCCACTCAGTATCTGTAACGGGTTTGAATCTCCTTCTTTACTTGAAAGGCACCGTACAAACACAAATTATTTTTGCTGAATGCAAATTATAAACAAATGAGGAATCATTTGGATATCAAACTACGTTAACATTCAATATAGTGTATGTAAGGAAGAAGTTCCTATTTTTAGGATGAAAATTGTTTTAACTTGTACTGAAGTTGTAAGAAGTTGTCAGTTAGCGCTCAGCTGTTTGTAGGATAATTGTAATTGTTACAGTAATTACTGTCAGAAATTGACAAGATAGAGAAATAAAAATTAGTTATTTTTGATCTAAAGAGTGAAATTTTGGATTGTATCATATTTAGGACATTTTCTATAATTGATCTATAATAATCTGATTCCAAATTAGAGTAAAGTTAGAGCTATTTACTTAAATTGCTTTCAATAAAGTTATTTATGCATAAAGGCATAAATACAGCAATACATCATAAACAAAGCTGAAGCAGTCAGATTTTTTTTAATGAGTTCAACTGTTTAATATAAGGGGATTAAACCCCAGTAAAACAACAAATGATACTTTTTGGCTCAAGCTCACATCAGTGTTGGGAAATCAAAGGACAAGACAGAAAAAATTGTATTTCCTACATTAGTTTCTTGTAGTCTACAGTGTACAATACTTGAATAAAAACCCAATTTGGTCTTTATTTAAATTGTTTTAAAGTGCAAAAGGGGTCCTTAACAGAGCTGTTTGACATGAGGCAACAGGATAGGACCAAGCTGTTTAAAATTAGAAATCACACTCCTGACTGGTGACATAAAAGAGCCTCAATGAAAATAAACAGATCTCATCAGAGATTCCACATCGTGAATGGTAGGGAAATGCCTGCTCGATTTTACTGCAAATCATCATTTTGGTCAGATTGTTAAATTTAGAAATTCAGGCATTAGCATTCCAGACTGGAATACAATTAATCCTGTGTTGTAATATTGTGCCACTTCACATTATGGAGAATAAGACTGATAAACCTAAAGGATTCCCTCCAACCTCAACGGATGCTCTGTACTGCAATCCAGAGAGAGACATAATTTTATTGCTTAATGTAAGAAAAGGCGATGATTTATGAAGGTTTCCATACGTCAGAGACGTAGCAAATCAAAGTTAAAAAAATCTTTAAACTTCGGGCAGATTGTGCAAATAAGAAAAGCTGGAGTAATTATCCTATCTAGGATACCAGGAACCAAATGACCTTCCCTTGCTGAATAATCTTCAGTTTCAACAAAAGAACCATGAAGTGATCTGCACTAATGAGATATTTCCTACAAAGTTTCCTTTTTCTCATTACCTTACTTGTTTATCTTGGGCCATGCATCCTCCAGTATCTAAGGTGAGATAAGCAGGCCACCATCAATGCTGCTCTTTCCGAAATACCACAGTACGCAAACGTTCTCATGCCACCCGGCTTCCAATGTGCCAATAGCAAAACAAATACTGAAGATATCAGCAATTGTTACTGTGAAAAGTCACTTTTAAGCTTGAAAAATCTAACTTTGCCATTAGTAACTCGGGCAAAATTTAAAGAAAATTAAAATGGTTACTCATCTCAAAGTGGTCAACAAATATAATTCTTTTGTTTGTGTACAATATGGTGAGGCAGAATCAGAGCCACTTCACAGTCAACAGCAGAGATCTGAAGTTATTGCAGTATTCATATTTAGTGATATGTATTGTAGGCACCTCAACAATATGGGAACCAATCAAATAAATAACAATAAACATTTATTTTACCCCAGACAAGAATTACTAGATACTATTTTTTAATGTATTCTCTCTCAACAAAACGTGAAGACATTAAAACATAGAATCTAGAAACTCTTGTTTGGCAATTTGCTCTGAATCCATGCTCATTCAACTCTGCATGAATATTTTCAATGTCTGAACCAGATTTCTGCATATTTTTAAACACTGCTGAATTTCCCATTTTTTCTTGAATTCAGTTGTCTAGTCTAACATTTGCTGACAGCTGACAACAGTTGGATGAAGACATGAAGAACAGGTTACTTATGAAGGTTATTTAAGATCTTACTAATGGATTCAGTTTTCCAGGTAGTAAATGGAACAAAAATGATTGACAGTTTACAAAGCATCTTCAAGGATAATTGTGTCCAATTTTACAAACTTACCAGCACCACCACCTTGACATTGCTCTGCTCTAATCTGTGCTTCTAAATCTTCAGGATTTATAATATCATATTCTTCCATTTCTCCCGATGGTTTGCATTTTCCACAACAGAAGCAGCAGCAACAGCAGCAGCAGCAGCAACTGAAAATCCCACAGCAAACGACAAGTGTCTGCCACATAACAAAAGGAAGGTTTAGCCCAAAACTTAAGGAAATGCAGTTTTCTATACAGCTCCTAAGACTAGGATGCATAACAGTTCAATTGACTTTTAACACGATTCTGGGCTTGCCCACACTATGCAAAATCCATAAGGATCCCGCAGGGATCAATGCCCTCAACTCTCTCACACATCAAACATCCTCCACGTCCTTGAAGCAAATGTCAAGACCCGAAGATAAAGAGCACATAAACTGTGCCACAACTGATTAACAATCAGAATTCCTGCTGGCAAATCATTCCAACTGCAATTATTTTTCATTTATTTAATAAAAAAAGTTATAATTGTAGCCAACTCTCAAATGATATTGCTGCCATTCCAGGCAAAGCAAGTTGTGAAACCTGTCTATATATGTCTGGCAATATATAGCTCACTGGCAAGATAAACAAACTTGGCAATCGTCAATAATGTCCTGCATTAGTAATCTCAGGGGATGCCAATTAGCTCTCCATTTTATCTGCCTCAAAATTGAGTGGAGCCAGCAGGAGTCAAACTGGCACCTTCTGGTCTCACATCTGTTGCTTAATCTGGCTTGAGCTACCGGTAATATCTGGGTAGTTGAAGATTTGATTATCATTACTGATGAGTAACTGCATGTCTATTGTAAATCAAATTTTTCTTGCAATTGTTATTGATGAGTATAAAATTGAGGTATTGTAATTATTAGCTTAACGTGCATCAATTTCTAACCCACCTTAAACCAACATTTGTTCACCAAAAAGTAATATTTCACACTCTCTTCTCCGAATTGCTCAGCAACGTAGAGTCCCATTGAGCCATACTCATCATAGATGCGCCTCTTGTTTTCATCGTTCAAAATAGTATTTGCATTGTTGATTTCTTTGAACTTTTCTGATGCATCAGGATTATCCGGGTTCTTGTCTGGATGATATTTCAATGCAAGTTTTCTGGTTGTAAAAGAGAGAAGGTTAAAAATTGTTCAAGTAAAACAACTGACCCAGTTTGGTCTCGACTTCAGAGCAATTCCAAATACACTGTAAAACAAAGCAGACCCATAATCCATTAGGATTAACCATAATTCACTTCCCATTAATAGCCAATTAATTTTCTATTAAAGTGTACAGAATTGTAATCATATTTTATAGTACATTCACTTACAATATATACAGTCAATCCATCATACAGTATATTCTGTGAAGCGCTTTGAGACGTCTCGAAGGCGTGATAAGGCGCTAGATCAAATATGTTAAATGCAAGGATTATTACATTCATCACTATTTTTGACTGCAGTTTTGGTTCAAGCCTTTCCCATAGCCTGAGGCCAAATCCAATGAGGAAGACACAATATAGTTCATCTATCAGGCTCAATTGGTACACTCTAGCCTCTGGGTCAAATGGTTGTGGTTGTCCCATGTCAGGACCCAGGTTGTCACTGGTGCACTGCTGAGGGAGCTCGGCATTGAAATCCTGTACTTTGAATGAGGCATTAAATTGTAGTTCAATGTTACAGATCCCATTGCACTATTTAAAAAAGGGAGTTTCTCCTAATATTCTGGCCCACAATCCTCCAGATAAATTGCTCATTCAGTTCACGGCTATTTGTGGGACACTGCTGTGCAAATTGGTGGCCATATTCACCAAAAACAATCATTGCACTTCACAGAAACGTTGCGATTCTCCTTTGGGATATTCAAAGTCTTAATTATATCAATTACAAAGATTATGACATAGAACCATCAAAGAAAGGGCATTCAATATCCAAATAACTTTGTGTAAAAAAAACTTTGTCATTATGTTAAATCTATGCCCTCCAGTTACCAATGCCTTCTCGTTACCTACCCGACCAATCTAAATAATTTAACTTTATCAAAACCCCTCATTATTGGAAAGATCTCCATCAGGTCTCACCTCACCCTTTATTTGTTCTAGAGAAAACAGCTCGTTTGTTCAATCTTTCCTCACAAGCAAAGTCTCCTCTGCACTCTCTCTATGGTCCTGACATCATTCCTATAGTGAGAAGCCCAAAACTGGACACAATACTCCAACTGCAGCCTAACTAATGATTTTTATAAGCTTAGCATTATTCATTTGTTCTTGTATTCTATGCTCCTATTAAATTTAGGATTTCAATGGTGCGTTCCCCCCTCCACAGCTTTTATCAACTTGCATTCTGACCTTTGAAGCTTTGTACGCATTAATCCCTATGTATCTCTGCTCTTTGTCTTTTTAAAGTTTTACAATTTAATATACATTTCCTCTCATTCTTCCTCCCAAAACTGTTATGTCAAAACTTGAATTTAACCTTAAGCTATACTTAAGTTAGTGTAAAATCAGACCACTTAGACACTGCATCTAAAAATCACAAATCTTACAATAGCTTGGTAAGTATTTGAAAATAAAGTGGTATGAATTTTTAACAGTGCTTAAAAGTCAAATGTTCAAAACAAATATATCATCACAATCCACCTATGTTGCAAGTACTCATTTCACTACGGGAAGACCAAGATATCCAAGTAGCTCCAAGTCCCTATAATATGTGAGTTAATATTCAGTTTAGAATTTTGTAATGCAGATCAAGCTGCGATAATAGGAAGACACAAGGTCAAGTAATGCTGGAAAGTGAATGAAGTGGTGTGATCAAGTTTTAAAACATCAGAATTTTTACAATAACAAATTCAATTTATGTAACACTCCTCACTCAGGGTAGCATCTGAGCACTTAACGTAATGGAGCCTGACACTGAGCCAAAGAGTGTAGAGATATGACTGCGTGCACGGTCGAAGAGGAAGGTCTTTAGGTCCAATTCAAACACAAGCAAAGAGGGGCAAGGCAGAAGGATTGAGGCAGAGAGTTCCTTTGCTTTGGGGGGTAGCAGCCACCAATGGTGAAGCAGAGGGAAAGAGGAACTTGCAGGAGGGCAGAGCCAACTGAGCAAAGGAGCTGAGTTGAGGAATGCAGTATAAGCAGGTTTGAAGTGCTGAGGGGCCAACTTTTGCTGTTTTTTGTATATTTTAGGAAACAACCACATTTACCAATAATAAATCACTGAATCCAATACATCGCCTTTCATGTCAAGAGCCTTACAGCACTTTGCAGGATTTACTGTAAAATATAGTAAAATTGTAGTAAAGATACATTGCAGATTAACTTGGCAGCCAATTTGTGGATTTGATCCAAGGACTCCATAATGCAAGCAGGGGCAGATTTTAAGAGGGGTTGGGCAAGATGAAGAAGCTTCACTGCAATTTTAAGGCACTATTGATTTCATCTCTCCTCCTCTGCAGCTCTGAATCAGCTATGCCAAACACTTTGAGATGACCTTTAAGGTGCAAAATATATGTACATTGTTACTGTTAATGTTCAACCCATTCATGATGAGGCAAAGGGCAAACGGTCAACTCACCCAAATCCTTCCATAAAGTACACTATTCCACAAAGCCATTGACATTTGGATCTTCTCTTCACCCTCACTCAGACAAGTTCTAGCGTAGTACCCACTTGCAGCAACATAGATAAGATCTATCTTATGTGGACATTGTTCTAATAACCAGCACATTTAGCTGCCAGTGAGCACCTATTTAGCTGACAGTCATGGCGCAACCAAAGATGACATTTGAACCCACCACAGGAAGCAATCGCTAACATTGCGTGTATGCTATCATCTTCAAAGTACAATCGGCATAAAAAAAGTAAACTGCGCAGCACAAGAATGAGAAGATCAGTAAATTTAAGCATCAGATATTTAACACTAAGAGAATACTTTGTAGAGTCCTGTAGTATAGTAGTCAGAGCACGTGCAATAATCCTTGAAAAAAATTAATTTGGTCATTCAATCCACGACTGTTTGTGGGACACTGCTGTGCGCAAATGGCTGCCGCATTCCGCCCACAAAATACAGTTAATTTACTTTACAGTATATTCTGTGAAGCACTTTTGAGACATCTCGAAGACGTGATCAGGTGCTATATCAAATGCAAGAATTATTATATTCTAACTTGTGTGGAAGCTTGGAAAATAGTATTAATCTGAGTGTTAAATTGGAAGTTGATTTCCTATCTTTTTAAAATTATAATTGAAAGCTGACGTCCACAATTCTGCACAATATTAAATTAAGACAATGGTCTTAGACACAAGAACATGAGAATCTTCAAGCCACAGGTAAGAGACATAAGATCAGCAACAAATCCTCCCTCGGTGCATTAGCCACAAATATTAAGTTCAACTCCCACCTATACTTGAGCTGAGGTACTGGAAGACTGCCAATAACTGTGGAACCATATCTCAGGCAAGTCATTAGCTCTAGGGGAATAAGGGAATTGTTGTTCTATACTCAATGAACATTTACTGTTGTGATAAGTGTCATAAAAATTCCAGGGAAAGCCATCAACACGTTAGTGTGGGAGCCCAAATGTAGCTGAGTCATCAGCCATATGTCAAAGATAAGTTTAAGAGCTATAAATACACAATCCCATTTTATACTTTAAGTTATATTGTGTCATCCTAACAAACAGCAAAGCCTGCTGCTACTGGAGTTACTATTTGTAATTTTTAAAAACTAAATTAACATAAAATTGGGACTTGTATACATTATGCCAGGATCCTCAGGAAAATAACAATAAATTGCGCTTATACAGTGCATTTCATGTCAGGAAGATGTCCCAAGGTTATGGACAGTGATGGGTTTGCACCCAAGCTTGGGTTTCGAATCAAGAGGGGCAGAGGGTAAGGGGTGGGAAGATGACCGAAGGTATAGTCGAACAGAAAAGTCTCAAGATGGGCCTTGAAGGAGACGAGGGAGGAGTTGACGCAGAGGGAGGAGTCGACGCAGAGGGAGGAGTCGACGCAGAGGGAGGAGTCGACGCAGAGGGAGGAGTCGACGCAGAGGGAGGAGTCGACGCAGAGGGAGGAGTCGACGCAGAGGGAGGAGTCGACGCAGAGGGAGGAGTCGACGCAGAGGGAGGAGTCGACGCAGAGGGAGGAGTCGACGCAGAGGGGCTATGGGATGAAGTCTCAGAGGGTGGGGGCAGGCAAGGTGGGGGACATGGAGCAGACTAGTGCCTTCCGACCAGAGGGAGAGGACAGGCTGGTAACAGCTTGGTAGGTTACAGAGTTGGGGTGGAGCAAAACCATGAAGGGCTTTAAAAGGCGAAGACTAGAACCTTAAACTTGATCCCCTGAGGGATGGGGAGCCAATGGACCCAGGTGAGGATGGGAGGTGATTGGGTCACAGAACTTAGTACGGGAAAGGACATAAGCTGCAGAGTTCTGAATAATTTGCAGCTTGTGGAGGGAAGAGTTGGGAAGTCCAGCGAGCAGGGAGTTAGCATAGTCAAGGCTGGACATAATGAAAACATGGATGAAGATCTCAGCAGCCTGAGGGGTGAGATAGTGGGCAATGTTGTAAAGGTGAGGGTCGAACAAGGCACCGAGGTTTCTTACTGGCTCATGAGGTGGTTTGTGCATCCATGAAGAGTAATGCTGTCAGCACCTGACGTGCAGAGGCTCTGAAGGGAGCCAAGCAAGAGAGCCTCGGTCTTGTCAACATTGAACTGGAGAAAATTGGCTCTCATCCAGGTCTTGATGTCTGACAGAAACTCTGTCACTATCTCTCTGCCTTCACCCTTGACTTCAGAAAAAACTGGTCCTGGTGTCGAGGGTAGAAGCAGAGAGATAATAGTTGGGTATCACCTGCAAGTGGAAGTTAACCCATGCCTGCAGATGAAATCCTTGAGCCGGAGCTTATAAATATTAACCTATGGTTATTTCCACAGGACACAAAGAAGCTCATAAACCATACATTTACAAACACAGCATTGGGAAAGTATTGTGACTGGAAGAGTTTTTAAAGGAGAGATTGGATACAATTTCCCACAGATGATTGTTAGATCATAAAATGTTTAACAAAACGTTATTTAAGGTCAGATAGTAACATTCTAAATATAACTGTAATCCTTGCATTTGAACTGAAAAGGTACTTGAAGGGACAACATAAACATTTGGGGGAATTTTGTGCTGTATATCTTATGATATTGCAAAACATTCCCATTTAAGCAATCACCAGAAAGTCGCAAATAATTCACTTGTTAACTAAGACACTGATAAGGAACTTTAGCAAGATAAATTGGATAAGAAAATAATAAACTTGTGTGAACCAATCCCACTGGTTAGATTGGAATGCCAATTTAGGATAAGACTGTGTACCTGTATGCCTTTTTGATTTCCTCTGGTGTGGCTCCTTTCTCCAATCCTAGTGATTTGTATAAACTTTCCCCCGATCGGGACATTGTACGTTGAGGTCTTTGTGAAGTCATGTTGGTAGGCAGCTTTAAAAGAAAATGTTTTTTTTCATTGAGATTTAGTCAACAAACATTTGGGCTCTCCCCCTCCCCTCCTTTGTGAAAGTTCTGACTGTTTTCCAGGGGTATAGTTCCATACATTACTGCTGCCATTCTTAATGCGTGAGACTCAATGCAAGTTTCAGAGGGCTATTTGACCATCACAGTCCAGCCAAACTTGTCCTCACCAGACATCCACACATGCACTTTCCAGCATGGGTCAACTAGTAATGGGGAGGAATTTTGAAGCTAACGATAGTTCTGTCTGAGATTGGTTAATGCAGCACGGACTGGATGCAAACCCACAAACCCAAACCTGTCCGTATAACATGAGTGTTGGCTTACCCACCAAGAGCAACAACATGGTAATATAAATTAACCGGTCAGAATTATTAAACTTAAGAATGAAAAAACTTTGGAATAAGCATAAATGTGCTGAGATGGTTTGGTTATTGAATGCTGGGACACGACTGTGGCACAAATGAAAACAGACATGTTGTCCCAGCTGGGTTAAGCACTTATTTACACAAGACACTGGCATTTGAGAGTTGCATCCTGATTTCTACAAACCATGAGTAATGCAGCAAAACTGGTTTTGTTCCAAGCTGCAGGCAATAAAAACATGGCTGGGGCAATCTTACTCATTTCAATATGTAATATTTCAACATCAGGTTTGAAAACCAGCCTGTCTTTTAATCCCTGCCAAATCACATGAACTAACAGAGCAGAATACTTTTTGTATAAGGAATTTAAAATACATCCATTTGTATGCGGAAGTCAGATGTAAAAGCTTCTTTGGTGCCTGATGAAATTCTATAGACTCGGATCAAATACCAGATTGGACCAAGTAATCCAGTTCTCACCTCCCTAAAATCAATTTGTGACAGAACCAAAACAAATGGAAAAGGGAATCCTAGAAAGTCAGTCATGGAATATGCTACCAGGTTCAGGATTGAGGATTGATTTCTCATGAAACCAGTCAGAGAAATCTTTGTGACTTTGACTTGCTGTCACCCCAATCGTCCAATACAGTTACTTCCAGAAATAATAAACAAATCTATTAAACCAAGTACAGCAAGTGCAGTCAAGAGCTTTATTTGGAATCTAGGGTATGGGTCAGCGGTTACCCCTTGACATGCCAGCCTAGAACAAGCTTAAAACATCGTTGCCTATCTGAGCAGCCATGAGTGCTGACTTACTTCTCTTTCCTGCTGCAAGACCCACTCACCCACTACTTAGGAATATACTGCTCCAAACTCCTCCCCACCCTTTCCCCTCCAAACTGCCAGACAAAACGTCCACCCGCTCACAACCTCACTCTGGAAGAGCATATAGATATTCTTGGCTTGCCTGAATCTGCTTCACAAACTCATTCCTTCTCATGAAAGTTACCCTGTCTAGGAACATGTTCCATCCGTGCACCTCTGCCTTTTTCTCACCGTGCTCTCGTCACTGGCTGCACCTCACCCCTCTTCCATTTCTGCTTTGTGCTGATATTACACACAACCATTTATTGTACAAATTTAACACACGCAAGTGCTAGATACACCCAATGATCTAAATGGTCATAATAGCGTTGGTTACAGAGTTACAAGGTAAATAACTGGATATGTAGTTTTAGCTACTGTGATAGATGGAAAATAACCTTTTAAAATTGTGTGTGGGGTCTAAGCGATTGAAAACAAACACTCACCTAATAAAAAAATGGAAACTGAAAATATTTAGTATCTCTAAATGTTAAGTCAAAAGCCTGACTTTATAGTTTCAAATTAACCCTCCCTAAAATGTAATTTCTAATACCAGGTTTTAGAATCAACATCCCAGCATCAAGTGGTTTGAAGTGATTAAATAATCGTCATCAAATGCTGCCATTGTTACTAATGTACGTTAGTGAATAAAGTCTTGTGTACAGGAATTACTAAACCAGAAATAACCCTGAAATTGCAACCTCCCTCCCTAATGAGAATGTTGAACTCTGCCTGAAGCGGTGGTTGAATCAGATAGTATAGATGCATGCAAAAGGAAGAAAGACCTCAACATGAGGGAGAGGGTAAGAGAAAGGTATAATAGGGAGTGAGGAATGGGTGGAGACTTATTTGGAATATAAACTCCGGCATGGACTATTTGGGCTGAGGGTCCTGTTTCCATGCTGTATATTCTTTGTAAATCTACATTTCTGAGTTTGTGGTCACGTCTTTGCGACTACAGTATTTAAAGAATGAAGTACAGACCAGTTCCTGGAATGCAAAAACTGCAGGATGATGATACAGTTCTGTGATTATTCCAATATATTTTACCAATAGTTTGTCACTGCTAGCCCAGTTTAATACAACATACTCAAACTCACATTGTCCAACACAAGCTCGCACCAGTAGTTTTTTTTACAGAAATGGGAAAGAGTTTGTGGCAAACAAAAAAGATTTAAATGAAATAAAATTTCTCTGCAATTGCTTTAATTCTCTGCAACAAACTAATCAGAAGTTACTCCAAGCCTCTAATGCTTCATAACCTCAGTCATTAACTGCAGGGTATTTGGTTATTACCTGCAGCCAAGATAAACAAATACTCTATGGTTTAGTGATTGCACTTACGGTACAATATTGCAGGTCTATGGCTCTATTTTAAACCAAATGGCTTGAAGTGTCTGATTACTTTCAAGATGAAACTGCTAGTAAGTTATGGGTAGACATTGAATCAATGCAGACCTCATCAAAAAGTAAGCAGAAAGACTGTCACTACCCTATGAACCAGCTTAGCATCAGTAAAGAAACACGTGAGGAAAAAATAAAACTGCTTAGAATTTGCATTAGCTGAAACGATCTTGAAATCCCACTTCCTGTAGTGGACATCCTGGTACAACAGAACAAAATCGGTCACATTTGCCATAACAAAAAGAAGCCTAAAGTTCTTTGACTATGTTTGAATAAATGGCAAAACCTATCAAAACATAAAAACAGAAGTCAACAATACCACATGTAAACTTCTATCCACTGTATACGAAGCAACAAAGGATTTTCTCCTCTCATTTTGCTAAAGCCTTGGATTAGACACTACTAAGTGAATTAGAACTAGCAGTGTAAGCATCAATGGCAATCTAAACACACCCATTGAGTTTTCAATGAGCTCTAGCATCACTAATTTGGTAGTAGCACAGTGAACATAATTTAAAAAAATCTTTAAAATATCCAAAAGGTTTTGTTTATGGTGGCATTTGACAACTGGCCATAGAGATCTAAAGGTAGAAAGTATTTTTCTAAATCAGCATTCAGTTAGTTGATTTCAGGTGGAAAAGGGGCATTATAGATCAACTTAATACCTTCAAGCCTTTGACAGGAAAGGGGGTCAGCTGCAACAATATCCTCCATTACTTGACAATACTTCCTGTACAGCTTTACAATTCAATTGCAACTCGAAGGTCATTTGGACATTGTACTGTAGGGCTAATAATGCGGCAAAATTAAGCACTTGCAGAAGAGATGGAGGAAGGAGAGGAAGAGAAAATTGGTAAAACACTGATGATCATCAATATCAGAGAAGATAAATTACAACTGGTTATAGGTATAATTTTACAATAATAGCATGTTCAGTAAAACCTGCAATAATTCAAATTAGAAACCTAATGATTTATACATTCTAACGTTTCAGTCAGATCATAGCTTCCCTAAGAAAATGTCTTTGAAGAAAATCTAATAGTAAAATACCTTAAAGGTATTTTTACCTGACTATACTCTGTAACCACCAGCTCAGATTAATATTGACACAATCCTCTCAAACATTGATCCCTAAGGACGGTGAGAAATAAGCATAACAAATGCTGACGCCAAAGTGCTAAGAACATTTATGATAGTCAACTGCCTTTGAGTTAAAGACGCCAAATTTTACCGTTTAAAATAACCTGGAAGATTTCCATCAGCATTTTTTATTTTTATAAATTGCATTGCAAAACTTAGGACTCCAGTGAATGTCAAGAAAGAAGCTAGTATATTCACAAACATCCAGTTACAAAGCACAATGGGTACTCTCAAACTTTCACAGTAACGAGAATACTATAGAAGCCATTCTTCAATTTTGCTTTTTTTAAAAAGATCAACTCATTCTTATAATCTATTTGTTTCATTTAACATTTTATTCAAAATAAATTTAAACAAAATTGTTCCTGAGCAGTCAGGAAAAAGGCATTCAGGCAAGCCTGGGGTTATTTTAATGTCTGGTGTCACTTGCAAGAGCAAAGTGGAGGTGTTCATCATCTCAAATGCCCAGATTGACTACATTAAAAAATGTTTTACAAAATGCTGTTTTTACTAAAATGCTCTGGCTGTACAGAAACAAAAACCTTAATTCGAGACGAAATTTATATTTGGTAATTCTGGCACACAACAAGCACGACTCCAGTTAAGTGAATTAGGAGGGTAGAATTCGCAATATACTGAGGCAATATTCTAATCATACTGTTTACCTTGCTAAAAGAGGCAAATTTCATTCATCCTATTTTAAATAACGGCTTAGCCAATAGAGCTCATACCATTATAGGTAGCTTGCATCTAACAACCTAGACACAGTTTCATCAGACCTTTTCTTTCGCAAAATCTTTATAACAAGATATCTGATTTTAACCACACAACAAAGGAGTTCAAACGATTAGCTTTGATGAAGACAATTTGGCCCATCTGATATCATTATTCCAGAATACCCACCGCACTGTCCTCCCATCACAGCGTCAAGCATTTAAAAAAAAATGAAATCAGTATCCTGGCCTCAAACACGCTTCCTGGCAACATCTTCAAATTATTAATTACCCTCTGGGAAAAGAAACATTTCCTGGTATCTGGTATTGACCTTTATACCTCTAAACCTATGTCCTCTTGTTATGTCTTGAACAATGTACTTGGTGTCAGAATCAATTTAGACGTTTTATAGGCAGATGCCCTGCTGGGAGCCGTGGTTGAAGCAAGATCCATTTCAGCTTTCAAGAGGGACCTTGAGATATC